CCTGCACCAGCTGACAGGGTGGTACCTACGTGCTGATCCTGCAGCAGCTGACTGGGTGGATCCTACGTGCTGATCCTACACCAGCTGACAGGGTGGATCCTACGTGCTGATCCTGCAGCAGCTGACAGGGTGGATCCTACGTGCTGATCCTACAGCAGCTGACAGGGTGGATCCTACGTGCTGATCCTGCAGCAGCTGACAGGGTGGATCCTACGTACTGATCCTACAGCAGCTGACAGGGTGGATCCTACGTGCTGATCCTGCACCCGCTGACAGGGTGGTACCTACGTGCTGATCCTGCAGCAGCTGACTGGGTGGATCCTACGTGCTGATCCTACACCAGCTGACAGGGTGGATCCTACGTGCTGATCCTGCAGCAGCTGACAGGATGGATCCTACGTGCTGATCCTACAGCAGCTGACAGGGTGGATCCTACGTACTGATCCTGCAGCAGCTGACAGGGTGGATCCTACGTGCTGATCCTACAGCAGCTGACAGGGTGGATCCTACGTGCTGATCCTACACCAGCTGACAGGGTGGATCCTACGTGCTGATCCTACACCGGCTGACAGGGTGGATCCTACGTGCTGATCCTGCAGCAGCTGACAGGGTGGATCCTACGTACTGATCCTACACCAGCTGGACAGGGTGGATCCTACGTGCTGATCCTGCAGCAGCTGACAGGGTGGATCCTACGTACTGATCCTACAGCAGCTGACAGGGTGGATCCTACGTGCTGATCCTACAGCAGCTGACAGGGTGGATCCTACGTGCTGATCCTGCAGCAGCTGACAGGGCGGATCCTACGTGCTGATCCTGCAGCAGCTGACAGGGTGGACCCTACGTGCTGATCCTGCAGCAGCTGACAGGGTGGATCCTACGTACTGATCCTACACCAGCTGACAGGGTGGATCCTACGTACTGATCCTACACCAGCTGACAGGGTGGATCCTACGTGTTGATCCTGCAGCAGCTGACAGGGTGGATCCTACGTACTGATCCTACACCAGCTGACAGGGTGGATCCTACGTGCTGATCCTGCAGCAGCTGACAGGGTGGATCCTACGTGCTGATCCTGCAGCAGCTGACAGGGTGGATCCTACGTGCTGATCCTACACCAGCTGACAGGGTGGATCCTACGTGCTGATCCTGCAGCAGCTGACAGGGTGGATCCTACGTGCTGATCCTACAGCAGCTGACAGGGTGGATCCTACGTGCTGATCCTACACCAGCTGACAGGGCGGATCCTACGTACTGATCCTACAGCAGCTGACAGGGTGGATCCTACGTACTGATCCTACACCAGCTGACAGGGCGGATCCTACGTGCTGATCCTGCAGCAGCTGACAGGGTGGGTCGCATGAACCCCACCCCTGAATGAGTTATAGCCTTGAAATTTGGGGAGTCAGCTCTTTAGGAAATCCTGTCAGTGGTTATCCGGCAAAAAATGAATGGATCAAATGAACAGGTTCCTGGTTCCAAATGAACAGGCTCCTGTTTTTTTACTAAATTTCTAACACAGACTCTGCACTCTGCAGCATCATAGCACATGAATTAAGAAGTTCCAAAGTGTAGGATTTGTCCTCTCTTATTTTCTTATTATCTAATTCGTCCTTATCTAAGAAGATTATAAACTCCTCTATTTCGGATTCTTGCAGCTATACTATACTAGGCTTCACAGTCGACGCATCAATATCTCAGTTGTGATAGCCTCTGCCCCAACAGAGGATGTAGCAGTTGGGGTAACGTTGTTACTAGTGACAATGCGTTAAAGTCGTGTAAACACACTAGACATGCCCCTGATATGACTGTGTGTTAACTAGCGTACAAAGGGGGAGGGGATCTGAAGTGATCAAAATGTGGTTAAGGTAACAAGTGAGCAATCCCTTATATGACAGTGTGTTTATAAATGGTGTTTAAAATGGTGTTTATAAATGGTGTTTATAAATTCTGTATATAAATTCTGTGTTTATAAATGGTATGTACACTAGACAGCTCCCTCATTTACCCGACTACCTGGCTTCTGACAGGGGCCAGTAAGGGTATCATCTCTATATCTCTATATCTCTCCCTCCATAAAACCAACCTTCAATCCAATCACATCCACCCGTCCTGCCCACGTGTCTACCATCACACCAATCTCAACCCCTCGCCCCAACTACGTGATCAAAACTCAACCAATCAGAGATCAGGTAATGATAACGTGACACGCATCGCATCTGGTCGATATTAATCTAATCCTGGAGTGAGTGTGAGTATACAATATCTTTATATAAACTCTCTCTCTCTCTCTCTGCGTGCACCAGATAAGAACTGACAGGTGTTCCTCTCCACACTAAGTCACGTGACACAGCACCCCATTCTGTCACGTGATGTAGAGAGTTCTGGAATTGTGATCACGTGATTACCGATAGTTCTTTAGCTTTGTGGTTCACAGGTAGTAATACTCCTTCATAAAACATTACGATGGTAAGGGTCACATTCGTAAGATAGGGGATGGTAATACATCGTTTTAATTAATTTCCAATATCACCTGTAAATATAGCGCCCAATCAATTAATCCAAGGACATTCCCTAATATCTTAGCAAATACGTAAGATCATCACTCACATCTATAAAAAGCCCCTAATAAAATAAAATGTATATAAAATACACTTTATGGGTGAAATTGTAACCAGAGCTCTATGATTGTGGCAATGGAGCTGAAACTCTGATACCGTTATCCCAACTCTCTTCGTCTCACTCACCACAAAAAGGTGATACATTTTTGATTGTTTATTGCTCTTAAACTATTCATAATGTCCTCAAACATTTCGAAATGTCTCCTAATTGTGCTCACGTTCTTAAGAAAATTATTTGCTTACTTTTCTTCAGAAATGTTTTATCTTCATAACATATTCTGTGCTCTAAAGTCACCCAACAACGAGCTTTCAGAGGCTCACAGCAGACCACTTATCAAGATTACCTTCTACCACACGCAGCTTGGCTAACTGCCACATCACGTGATCACTTTACCATATCACGTGACATGACGTCACATCACGTGATCACTTTACCATATCACGTGACATGACGTCACATCACGTGACCACTTTACCACATCACGTGACATTGCTGTGACAGTTTTTACACACTAATTAACTAACCGACTTATCAGCTTGTTCTGGATAACTATCATTAGATACTATATTAGTAACGATAATATTCATTATAATATGGTTCAGTATTCAGTATTCAGTATTCAGTATTCGGTATTCAGTATTCAGTATTCAGTATTCAGTATTCAGTATTCAGTATTCAGTATTCAGTATTCAGTATTCAGTATTCAGTATTCAGTAACACAACTATAGTAATATATGTTAGTGGAGACTATTTTGTGATGTATTAAGGTGTTCACACACATTATAGAGTGTTCACATTATAGTAACACTGTGCATGCAATGTAGAGTCACGGTAAAAATGTGTGGTATCTATACATGTTACAGAGCATTTTGTGATCTACTTAATTATTTACTGGGATTTATATAATGCACATGAAAGTTTCATTTTAAAACCATAATGTGCTAATTGAAGTTGCATTTTAGAGCCCAACATCAAATTTTCACAGGTGTCACAGGGCCACTAAATTATGCTTATTATATTAATATTAAGAATATGGTGTTCATTGCTCTCCAACATAGCTAGCAAATAAGTAGTCTACAGTGATAGAGAATATAATAATAGTCCCAATCCTCCAATCATAAGCTCTGAATCACACTTATCCTCCAATCACAGGACAGCTTTGAATTTTGCAATACTTTTAAATCACTTTAAGACACTTGGTGAGGCAATAATAAGTACATTAGTAATAATTAGTAATAATAATAAGTACATTAGTCACTCATTATAATACCCAACTGTTATAGTTCAGATGGCGAGGTAATCAGAACACTGGTTCACATATTACGTAATGACTAAAGGGGGTTTCTAAATGATTACGGTAGTGTAATTTTAGCTATGTCTAAAACTGTTTGTGGAGGAGGGTTTAAAATTGGCCAAAAAGTGATTACGTAATATGTGAACGACCCCTTATCTTTGCCATGCCTACATGACGAGTAAATAAACACCTACACTGCCATACTTAATATGGGACTGGATTTCCTAATTTGTTAAGCACCTGTCTAGACACTAAAAGCAACATGTTCTGTATCCTTAGTGGCAGGCAACACTGAGTAAGAGGAGTGTAATCCGCTGTGAGAGCTGAATTTTGTCAATTTTATCAGTAAGTAAGTTTTAATAAGATGTTATACTGTTTTAGATTTTAATGCTCTATAACTTTGTGTGAAGGACAGGTAATGCTTGCAAAAATCAGTGACATCATTTATTTTATAAATAGGAGCCAGTGTACGTACACTGCATAATTATTGTTATGGACAAAATGCTAACTTATTAAAATATTTTACTCTTGACACAGAACATATTCAGCGAGGATTACATATCGTGATTATCGGTCACAATATTTTTGAAACCTTTCAACATTAAACCCCCTCTCCCCATTTCACAAGAAAATAAATCAGATGATTTCATTAAACCCCACCATTTTATCACCTTAAACTCTGCCATCGTATCGTAGAACAATACAAGCTATAATGAAACTAATGGGTTCTTGACCCTCACCTTACGTGTGGTGACAATGAAATACCATTTAAGATATCCATTATACCAATTGTAGTTTTGTGTGATAGGTTTACACGTAGTAACCCAAATAACTTGATCAGATGTCTCATCAGACTATCACAAATTTTGATATGTTTAATAGGGCAAGAACCATTTTTGACGTATGTTATAGATTTATTATAGTTAGAGCGATAAAATTGAACATAATGAGCCTAATATAGGATGGGAAAGCTGGAATTTTTGGATGGAAAAGACAGGAGGGACAGTTTAATTTTCGGTAATCTCAAAGGGCTACTCTATCCGATGGTACTACAACAGAAGAAATGGAAGATTTGTTTAGTTACCCGTTAGATTTGTTCTTGACAGATGAATTACGCTGCCCCACTTGCCTCATCTGACAAGAGTGATAGTAATTTTACTTTCATATATGAAATCATGAATAGGATCAGCCATTGATGACTATTTAAATTCAACAGGCTGGGAGTTTCACTGCAGTTCAACAGGATGTTAGCATTCATCTACTCACTTGCTACATTAGTCCTCTCAATGCGGTGACCACACTTAGGGCATTGTACGGTAGTGGGAGTCCCTATCTTTGCAGTGTTACAGTTCACCGTGTTGTCGTAGTTAGCCATTACAAAACCCTTGTTACCCTCCTGTTCTACGTCAAACTGGTGCTTCTTAGCCCCTGCAGTGCGAACTAATGTTTTATAGTACAGGAGATGAAGATGAGCTAATTTCAATCGCAAGCTAGAGATCAAATCATGTAACCTTTTTCCATACACTCTCAAAGAATTTCTATTCAATGTTAAAGTGGCTGTCAACAATGAAAAGACTCAAGAGTGTTTGCACAAAATTAATTTTCAGTCAAATATCTATGTTTAATGAATAAGATGACTTACCCTGTGAACGCAGACAACAGTTCCACGCAATAATACTGAGGATAACGCACACAGTAAGAGTACTGATAATGCTGATACCAATAGATAGCGTGACCTGGGAAGGAGTTAATAATGGTTTGTTCCATGATACATCTTTGTTTAATCAATTTCTTAGCTATAGTTTCTGTGTAATGTAATTGTTATGCTTCAGCAAGATCAATGAAGTGGCTCAAAATTGAGTATAGATAAGGCATTGAGAATAAGTCATCTATAGTATAAATTCTCAAAGCTTTGTGAAATTATCTAACATATACAATGCTTACGTCGTTACTGAAAGAGAGTGCTGAATGTACCAATCCCAAAAAAAGTATCAGGAACTTGCCATCAAAATAATTCATAATTCATGTTCCTAAATATTTGTCGCTACAAAATGTGGATGAAATATCTTATTTTAATTATATATTAGCGACAAGAGAAACGTCATTGTTGGATGTGAGGAGAGTGAGGACGCCTCAAACTGCATTAAAATATGGTATTTTGACAAAATGTTTACCCGAATAAATATTCAACCAAATTCTAGTGTCTGAAAACAGGTTTTATCAGTGAAAATGTATCCAAACTGAATAGAGTTTAAATATCGTCCTCTGACTGAGGGTACAAAGCTTAAGACAGTCATCTTGGTGCTTCACAACAGAAAATGCAGCCACCAAACGAATCTCTTAAGCAAAACAAAAAATTCATGTTAGCACTTTCGTAGGATAAATTGATTATGTTGCAGGATTGATAATGTCAGCTCTAGAGACTCAGGGATACAGACACAGCAAATATTTCCCCCACCACGATACTCATAGTGATTACTGGGCGGCGCTCACCCTGTCAATCCGCCGAATCTCTATGTTTATGAACATCATAGCGTGGGTTGTCATACGTTTTAGACCTGCCACGCACGAGTGCGCAGGCTGTATCGTGGACACGATACTAGTGAAAACTTAGTAAAAAGACAATGGGGGTCACGAAGTGATACAAAGCGAGGTAATCATAGTGATTTCTCATGACTCTGTAGAACCCATTCAAGGGTATACTGAAGGGGACTCTTACAAGATTTAGGATCTTTTGGTAGGCCCCTTCTTGTTTAGCCCTCAACAACGCTTACCCAATGATCATCACATCATGGGATGGGTCGAACGTGGAGGCCTATTCTGCGATAGATGGCCAATGATCCTGTATATGTCAGGGACACAAGAAAACAACAATTTTATTAAGTATCAATTAAAGCAGACAAACATATATTTCATATGTATAACTAGCACGAACATTAGATCAGATATCCTAGGGGACTTGGAGTAGCAAGAGATTGACTAGAAGTTATATACCTTTTACAAAGAAACGTCGAAAAGAATCCAGGGCCAGGGTGATACAGGATCGGAGAGTGCCATGCACACCATAAAGTTTACGCACCCACCTTTGCCTCCTGAATTCTTGGTTGGAATAGAGTAAACAATTGTAATAGAGTAAAAAATTAATCCACTGTCCATGCAGGAAAAGAAGTGGGTTATCATATCTAAAATGAACCCTGCTGCTAACTGCTGCTAACTGCTGATAACTGCTGCTAACTTCTGCTAACTGCTGCTAACTGCTGCTAACTGCTGAGTGCTGATAACTGCTGCTAACTGCTGCTAACTGCATGCTAACTACTGCTCACTGCATGCTGCTAACTGATACTAACTGCTTCTCACTGCTGCTAAAGCTGCTGCAAATGGCGCGCGCGCCTCCGTAGCACTTGCCTCGAGCTACTTTGGCGCGCGCTACTTCGAAGAAATTTAGACAAGTAACATTTGTCAAGTTTGGAGGACTTCGCCGCTTCGACGCGCCGCGCGAACTAGCATTCTTGCTTCGCAACGATCTCGATGGGTTGACATCGTCAATCAACTGTCAACTGTCAATTTTAAAAACTACCGTCCTGGCTTACCGTACCAAAATTATATTTCAACCGTCCTGTGTACACTGTACATGCTTATACATTATTTGTAGGTTTACAACCTACCAGGACGCGCGCCGAGTTGGACTCGTCGATGGTCCAATATATGGAACAGATATTTTACGAGTATCACCCGTTAAATACATTATACCTTTCTAGGTTTTATGAATAAGCTACGGGATCGTAAAAGTAAGCTATACCAATGCATGTGCATTTATGATTTATTTTTACAATGATTTCGAATTAGATCTTATTCAATATACATATATGATATAGTATGAAAATAATTTTTGACGAGTACAGTTATGAGCAATTACAAATTATAAATAACCATTTTTGTCAAACGTGAACACGTGACCAATATTTGTATCAGATCACGTCGTGACCCCTGCACTAGCTGTTGTTTCACTATAGTTGTATTATAATTTCACTGTAGAGTTTCTACGATACAGGGCCAGGGGAGCCGCGCCTCGTCGAGCTAGCTGCGAATGATTGACATCGTGAATCAATTTTGAGTTTGACCTTAACTTTAAATATTTACCATACCATTAAAATCGAAATCTGAAATCAGTATTTACAAATGTTTATACATTTGTATATACAGAACGGTCGAAATCTAATCACTAATCTAAAATCTTGCCCCAAAACGCGCGCCTAATTGCATAATATTAATTTACTGGGCCGGGCCGCGCTCAGCCTGTCATTCCGCCTAATCTCTATTCGTTTATGAACATAATAGCCTGAGGTCCCCAGGTAAAATATTAATATGTTACATTACTTTTACTTTATGCTCTACAGTCGATTTCTTCTTCGAAATTTTTCTAAAAGGGCCCCTGACAGTTGAAATTTTCCTGATTCAATGTATTTCGAACGTTGACAGTTGATTCCGAATTACCCCACATGACATGACATATAATAGGTTGTATCACGTTGCGACCCCCACGGTCGTTTCACTATGTGTAGCGTCTTCGACGCTACAGGGGGAGCCGCGCACTTCGTGCGCGGCGGGTCATACAACGTATGACAAATAATAGGGTTAAATGCTCCCTTAGCGAGATATCGACAAAAACTGTCTCGATCACGTGATATACAATATATAACCAATAATATAACGCCGGAAGTTTGTCTAATTTCCAATTTCTTGTTTCAGTTAGGGATCGGGTTATATAATAAACTAATAGAGTTGGGATCAAATAATATGGTTAGGCCGTTATGGTTTCGGGTAGTCATTCAGAGTCACCTAGGGTAGAGGACGTGTTTAAAATTAAGTTACGTGAAAGTCAAGTGTAGATTGATTAATCATCATCCCTCGTCGACGGTCTTGGATCAATATATTATATTTGAAACACATATTTTACGACTACGAGTACGAGTATCACCTGTTAACAAAATTTGTCCGTTGTTAAATTAAATAAATTAACCCGGCGCGTATTATTTTGTCATTTGAGTGGTACTTACAGATCATATTCATAAGGTGTCTGGGTGCCACTTCGGCCCCCTCCCTTTTTTATTGTTATTGATAACTATTGTTAAAAGTGAAAAGTGAAAATGAAAACGCTTTGACATTTGACTTTGAGCTAGGAACTCCAAAGTTTAGAGGCACATTTAGTTTGACAATTCAAGTGATTTCCCTAAATTTAAAGTTGATTGTTTACAATTTGAATTAGGCCGAGTTATGATCATTTTAAGATTTGGTGGATACTTGTGACTTGATCCCGACACTTAATCAGTGCTCTCCATATATTTTTCAAATAAATAGATATTTTAATTGATGTTTTGGGACAAAGTGAGAGTCTCCACTCAGTTTTTCAAACAAATAGTTGTCGACGTTTCGGCCCACGCCTTTGTCATGGACGAGAAGTTACAATTACAAATTACTTCTTAAAATTACATAGCTCAATAAATGTCATGTAATACTAATCAATTTGTAGTCAGTATAGTGTTGTAATTAGTTTAAACTAATTATACAACACTACAAATTTATTACATTTATTGAGCTATGTAAGAAGTAATTGTATTGTAACGTCTGTAACGTAATACTAATTGTATTGTAACGTCTCATCCATGACAAAGGCGTGGGCCGAAACGTCGAAACTATTTGTTTGAAAAACTGAGTGCATGGAGACTCTCACTTTGTCCCAAAATATCAATTATATGAACGACCCACTCAAAAAACATACTATTAAAATAAATATTTTGTTGCGCAAAAAAATTGCTTTTAAATAAAAACGTTTCTAGACCTGAAATTAATTTGGACAGCATTAAATTTTCACAAATTTTAATGCTGTAGTATAAGGGAATTTAGGGCAGCACTCAGCCTGTGATTCCGCCACAGCTTTAAATTTAATTTGTTTATGAACAGAGAAAGCCTGAGGTCCCCAGGTAAAAAGTAATACTAATATTATATAGTACATGGAGCGGAAAAGAGTGAAAAATCCTAAAAATAAAAGCATTTTTATTTATAGCATAGATTCATCACAGCCCTTTGTTCTTTACCCTAATTCCTATATGCTATAACAATAGGAGTATGTGTCAAATTAAGTCTATAATTCAACAAAAAAGTAATTGGGATAATTTATTTCTACAAGTACATGTTGATGTATGATGTAAATTGTAACTATTTTGATTTCGACAGATTTCTTTTGTTAAATTTAGTTGAATCCCTTTTATGCTGGTTTTAATATTAATTGCACGCTACACTTTATTTTACCTGGGGACCCCAGGCTATTATGTTCATGAAAATAATAGAGATTCGGCGGAATGACACTGACAGACTGAGCGCCGCCCAGTGGCAGTAACACTTTATTGTAATTGTATTCATGGATGTAATTGCAACAATGGAATTTTTGGTCGTTATGCTCCCACATTATTAATCTGATATAAATCCACTTTTACATACGAGTACGACAACTTGAACTAGCGCCTCATCGTTATAATAAGGCTGACGCTAAAGAAAATATAACACAGAGCCCACTATATTTAAATAGGGCGATTAAATTATTCTCTGTAGATAAACAAGGAATCTGAAATATCTATAGAGCTATATATAGACTTTATTAGTGTACTATTAATAGCACGGCCTAATTTCATTAGAAATAAGTACTAAAAGACCAATCCGAAACTATAGGCCAGATTTTACGCGGCTGTGAAAAAGTACTAGCAAACAATTAATACAAACTGACTCCTGGCATTGTAAAAAATCAAAATACATTTCACATCATTGATAAATCAAAACAAAATTGTTGCAATTATACGAATATACGACTTATTAAAAACATTGTCACACAAAAAACCGGCTTCTTTAAAGAAGATATGAGCGTATTATTATCATTAAGTATATTCATACTATCTGACACGTGTCTTACACTGTGAGGGTGGACCAGAATCATGTTAACGTAACGATTACTTGCAAGGTAGATAATCTGGCAAAATTATAAGAGAAGCAGTTGTTTGGACGACGTACAGGTCATTATGGCCCACCCTAATGTATAAGTCAGATAAACTGAGTGTGAGAAATCTGTATTAACAGTTCTATAATTGAATGTGTATGCAAATAACTTAGTGATGTATTGAAAATAACATCATCACCATCAGTCGGTCTTTTGATTCATTCACAACTTCAACAAAACAAACGTGTATCAACAAGCTCTCTTAAAATGATTTGAAAGGAACTTTGAGTGTTAGAGAAGATTGTCAATGTCCTTCGATACTCTGTTTTATCGAGTGGATCTGTTGGGAATCTGAACATGCGATAACTGAGTCGAGCTTTAGTCGCTTAGCTTCCTGAAATGCAGGAGTTATTGAAACACAAGGAAATATTTTTATTAACATATATAAGGGCATTTGTTTTCAACTTGGATAAACGCCAGGTTAGCATTAATTAAAACAACAGCTGCAGACAGTATTACCTGTAATGAGTCGTTATCTAAGTCCTTGTCATCGTCGAAGTGGTTTGGTTCCTCATCTTCTTCCGCTACATTGCGGGGTGACACTGGCTCTGATCGCGGTGAAGTTCCTGTAAAGTGCAGTTCAGAGATCGGAATTTAGTTGTAATAATTGTCGTGCAATGGTTGATCAAGTTCCTCTGGAATTTAGGCCAATCACAAATAATATTCGTTCGGAGATTTAGCCTTGTCCACTATTTGCCTACCACACTATATAACATATATCTAATGTTTTTATACCTGATTCTTGATCAGGACTTCTTATTTGCTGGCGAACACGTGACCTCTTCTCTTCTTCTGATTGGTCCACTTGATCAGAGGTCTTTCTCTCTTCTCTTCGGCTTGGAGACTGCGGTTCTAACAGTAACTCCGACAAACTTGACCTGGAGAATTAAAAGGTTAATAAATGTTTTATTGGATCTAGGATCGTCATATTCTAGTACGCAATTGGAAAGACTAAGCAAGTACTTAGTGCATATATGGTTTTTGAATAAATTACTGCCTTATAGAATTAAGATAAAGTCGATGCACAAAAAAATGCAATTTTTTTTCTTAGCAAATGGAAACAAAGAGCAAAATATTCGCTCACTGCTGCTGCTGTACTCTATCAAGATCCAGAACATTCTGAGGAGAACTGATCTGGTCCCCCACCTCCTGCACTCCGGGAGACTCCAATGAGGCCATTGGTGCGTCTCTCGGTGCTGTCATGGTAACCTCACGTGATGTTATGTGAGGCTCACGTGACGATGTCATGGTGACGTCACGTGTTGCTAGCTCGGCTAGGTCGTCCATGCCGCGTGTTAGATCTAAGTTTTGGAAGTAGAGGTCAGGTCGGTGGAGATCACTGGGCGTTTCAAACATCATCTGAGGAAGGATAAACATAATTTATAAATAGCAGAATAGTGTTAGTAATCAGTACATGCTGCAGCTGTAAATAGTGAATACTGCTTCTACTCTTTACAACTAAAATTTATATAAATCTCCATAAATCTTACTTAGTAACGGTTACTTAGTAACGGTTACTTAGTAACGGTTACTTAGTAACGGTTACTTAGTAACGGTTACTTAGTAACGGTTACTTAGTAACGGTTACTTAGTAACCGTACCTTTCTATAGCTAGGTTGGGAAGGGTAAGTGTGTCTCATATTAGATCCTCTAGTGTCCGGGAGAAAGGGAGGTTGGAGCTGATTCAACAAGTTCATCCCCAGGTAAGGAGGATGTGTCATCAACAGATGGGGCTGAACCTGAATTAATAATTAAATGAGGTTTTTATATCCTGCTCATATGATTAACCAAAAATACAAGGAAGGTGGTTGACCATGTCAGCGCGGCTGGCTGTGATTGATATGAGCAAATGATAAAAGTGAACAGTGCAATGAAAATATTTCAAAATATTTCAACGTAACAATAAATTACATTTCACCATCGCACCCCAAAATGTCTGACGTATCACACAGAAGAAAGTGAACAACTGAGAAACTAAAACAGAAAAACCCAAGCCTTAGTGTAATGACCCACCAAGTTGATCTGGTGTCTGTTGTCGGAGGGATGTTGCTGCTGCATGATATACTGATCTGGTTCTGTCTTCATCACCATCTCCTTCGCCTCTTCCTCATCTCCGGACCCACAGCTGCTTCCTTCGTTCTCTGTGTCCTTCTCTCCTCCACTGCGAATATAGCTAAAGATAATTCCTTGTGTTTGAAATACTTTGTGTTTGAAATACTTTGTGTTTGAAATACTCTGTGTTTGAAATACTTTGTGTTTGAAATACTTTGTGTTTGAAATACTTTTGGGAAACATTTTTAACGAACTTTGACTTGGACGGACCGTAAACGAACAGACTTCATTTAAATGGACAATCAAATGAACGCTATGGCCTCCAGCATTCAAATAAAGTCCCGTTAAGGTACAGTTACGTACCGTTTTGATTTAGTCTCAGCGGCTCTGTCTCTTTGTCTCCGATTCTTAAACCAATTCGAGACCTGTGTTAGGGTCAGACCTGTAGACTCTGCTAGTTGTCGCTTATCGTGGGGGCTCGGGTACTTGTTCTGTGCGTACCAGTCCCTGAGGGAGACAGGTTGAAAATTCAGAAAAGTAAAATTTAAGAGCATTTCACTAGTTTCACTAGCCTTTTTATTGCCGCATCAGATAAGGAAGCCTTCCCCCCCCCCCGGCCCCCTCAGCCCCCCAGCCTGAGTATAAACACATACCTAAGTCTGTTGCGGCTCTTCTCCTTGAAGCAGTAGGAAGTCTCCTCCCCATCCCAGATAGTAGCAGGTAAAGGATATTTCCTCCTTATCCTGTACTTATCTACAGCCCCCAGGGGTCTCCCTCGCGCTTTCTCCGCTGAAACGTTCGTTAGTTGAAAAAGATAATTTTTTAGAAAAGACAAAAAGGAAGGAACTGTGTTCCGGAAAGTCGTAACTTAGAAAGAACGACTGGCCCTTACTCCAACCTTAACTTGCCCTATTTTTCTTACTAGTCAAACCCAATCAATTTTAAGAACTTTTTTATCACTGGTCGAAAGTGTTCCATTTTGCCGACTCTGGTACCCTATGATGCTTATTGCTCACAGCGGTGAGGTATAAAGCGTACAATAACGGGAAAAGACCATCTCACCACGATTCATATACTTAAAGTTAAAGTTAGTCTTTTCTCAGATTTGAAACGTTGAAAAATGTACTTTGCTACTCAACATCAACTTTGGGTTCGTCAACCTTTTTTCATGTACAATTTTAGAGCAGAATAGTTTTTTCAGTGGGCTAAACACCAATAAATCATCACATATCATTTGAGGAGAAGGGCGTGCGATTCCTTCAGACTATGATGAGGTGGACTACCAGACACGTGACGGTCACGTGCCTGGTGATGCCACTGAAACAAAACACATCTTCTGATAGTTTATACCTTCAATGTAGTGAGATTTGAGCCAGATTTGTTGCAGCTTCGCGTGAGAGTTTGGTGAGTAATTCCGACTCTGAAACGAGGAAATGGTTAGATTAGTTTATCTTAGATAAGTTTATGCTTTATACCAGAATTAAGTCTAGAAGTGGGTTATAGAATCATGATTCTACCTACTGAAATGAGATAGCTTCCAATAAGCACTACCCCCGAGCACCAGCAGGTAGGAATGTAATAATGATAATTCATGAATGAAGTCTGCTAAGCAAGGCTTATAACGTGACCGTATAAAATATCTTTTACTCTCTCAACTACATTTTAATCGAATTAAAATCTAGACTTTGTCTTATCATTCTATGAAACAATGTACAAGTGTTCGCAGTGAATTGAAAGTGGAATGAACTGAGATAAAATGAAATGAAACAGAGTAATTACACCCATCTACCCAACATACTTTAAAAATATAAACAAGCTTTACAAACCCTAATGTTATAATAACCACCTGATAACACACAGATAACACACCTTTTTATAAGTACAGGTGAAACTAAAACCGCAAATACCAGCTGCCCGACATTTCACTCTTCAGCAGCTTGCCAGCCAGCTGGTATACTTTATACTGATAACGAACACACAGCTCGCAGTATATTGTACTGGGGAGGGGTCTTTGTGGTAGAAAAACTTTAAAATTGGTGAAAATTGATTACCAATTAAATTAAATACCATAGCAGGTCACTCACAAAATTTACGTTATGCTGTTACGGTAACCAGATGAACCCTGTTAAAGCCTGCCGATAAACATGCATCTGATAAGTGATAACGATAAGTGATAACGATTTGGTTTATCCAGTATAAATTGTTGGGTTTCCTTTTAAACAAAGTTCTTATAAATGTGCAAAACCGCTCCCCCTTTAGCGTACTTGTACATTTTCTGTGAGGCAAATTGTATTTAGATTGTACTTTATTGTGCGTCTCCCTGATTGACAACTACAAGTGGTACAGGGGGGACTGATACTTATTACACTGTTGACAGACATTGAGAAGTGACACACGGTTAACACGCTGCTAACACACGGTTAACACACGAGTTAACGCACGGTTAACACAAGGTTAACACAAGGTTAACACAAGGTTAACACAAGGTTAACACACGGTTAACACACGGTTAACACACGGTTAACACACGGTTAACACAAGGTTAACACACTGGGCACTGCTAACACACGTTTAGTCATGCCCACTGGACATTGCCCAGCCATATGTTTTGTATTATGTGAGAACTTCATGATTACTCAATTCTTTCTAATGAATGAGATAAATCGGCCGCCAATTAATAAGGTTTCTAATTCATCCGGACACTGGTGGAGAGGTAAATCATATTTTCTCTGGCACGTGACAGCGATTAACCAATCAGCTATGAGCATTGACAATCAACACCCAGAATCATTGCTCGGTGTCAAATAATATAGTTCATCAGCTCCCCACCAGTATTCAGATTCCATATCTTAAGGTCACACTTTCGTTGGAGTAACCACTAAATTAACGAGTGAAAACAAACGTTTTTTATCGTTACTTCAATACCAGATAACGGGTGGACATATTTTCACACCTCGACGTTTCGTCACCAGGGACGAAAGAAAATCGCGATTATTTTGCCCAAAAATCGCGATACCGCGACAAGCCAAACAGACGACACATAAAATGTGTCGCAAAGAATGGGAAAATCGCGATCCCGCACATGCCGCGATTTCCTTTTGTCCCTGTTCGTCACACCACGTTCAACCCAAACCCAAAACCTTTGCCCGAATTACATATTATAAAGTCGTGAATGAAATGCCCATCCCCTCTCCCAATCCTTCCTCTCCCTTCTCAAGATGCCCCCCCCCCTTCTCTCCCCCTCCCCCTCCTCAAGATGCCCCCTCTCTATCTCTCCCCTTTCTCAAGATGCCCCCCTCTATCCCTCCTCTTTCTCAACATGCCCCCTTCTCCCCCCTCCCCCTTCTCAAGATGCCCCCCCCCTCTCTCAATCTCTCCCTCTTCTCAAGATGCCCCCTCCCCCTCCCCCTTCTCAAGATGCCCCCCCCCCCCCTCTCTCAATCTCTCCCTCTTCTCAAGATGCCCCCTCCCCCTCCCCCTTCTCAAGATGCCCCCTCCCCCTTCTCAAGATGCCCCCCCCCCCTCTCTCTCCCTCACCCCATCAATCCCTCTTCCCCAGGTTACTCACAGATAATATCCTGTAAACTTCAGCGTAGTTTCCCTCGTTAAAGCACACCTCCGCCCTTGCCTTCAGAACACTCTCGTTGTTCATCAGACTATTATCATGACAGGGCAGGGTCCAAAGGAAGGCTGCTAGCCGCTTTATGTTGCCGCTTTGCTGCAGTGCCTCGCATACACACGCCACCTGTCAGAAGTACATTTTAATTATAATTATACGTATTTAACGTACTTTATTACGTATTTTGATGTGAAATATACGTTAACTAAGGCGTGTTTTTTTCACTGATTCACACATTTTTAAATTCTTAAAGTAATCAAATGAGATAATTCTTGATTTCGGCATAATCAGTACAAATCAACACCATGCATGGTATTTTTACGATTTGGCATTGAATGGCCTGTAGAGTGAAGAACTTAATCTTTAGGTTGTCCATCCAGAAATTAATTTCAACTTAAAAGTGTCAAACACTGAGAAAATACTATTAAAGGACCAGTTAACTGAAAAATTTGTAGTCTCCAATTTGGCTAAGATTTAAATCAGCTGTGACAAACTGGTAAAGAATCGTATCGCCGAAAGAACCAACTCTCTATCGTACGTGTAACGCGTGTTATTGCAATAATAAGCTGTGGCCTCGTGACGTCATAAAGTCCCTCAGTGCGCGCTTGCATAGCGTAATTTACATTACAAATGTTTATCATCGTCAATAAAACACATGTAACTCACTCAAATTTTAGAATTATGACTATTACCCTAGTTCTCCAAAATCCTTATAGTTTTGGCTATAATTCTAACTAAAGGAATAGCTGATTGGATGTACAGTGCTCACGTCATGATTTTAAACAGTGATATAGGTTCTTGAACAGTGGCGGGTGAATGTACGGTTAGAAAGTTTCTGCTATTACAACTTATGTCATATGTGATAATTTTGGATTGCTTTCATTGCTTAATTACACAAGCAGCTAGGGAGACTGTACCGATTATTTTTGTCCATGAAACTCTAACGAATTTAGAAAGGATCTAGATAAGTAGGAGTTTGTTCAATTCCGAGAGCAATTATATTTATAGCATATAGCGAAATTTAAAACTTTAATCCGCATGTGTCAGCCAGTACAGGAGACAAGAAGTCTGGCTACTTTACGGCCGTTCCTCTGGGACCATTAGTAGAAGTAGCTTCTATCAGAACAGTGCCGTGGGAACAGAATTCCCGCCAAAATACCCGGTCTCGGGTCTACCAAACAGTGATACTGTTCGGAGTGTACGGTGTGCAGTGTGTTTTGAATTAGACTTACGGCTTACCTAGTTGTTATCCTAATTGCATTATCATCGGTACATAACATAAATAAACTACTGGTAAGTTTAAATACCAAGTGCAAACGTGTTCAGTCAATCGACCCACTGAACAATTATAGAATTTCCAAGACCCTATTATTCTCTGGCCATATATTACGGCACGATCGATTGTTAGATGGCTAAACGACCAACGTTATAATCTATACAATTCTAAAACTATGAGCTAGCACTTTAATCTAAAAATACACTTTTAATATTACTCCTGATTTTTACATTTCACGTAAAACATTGTCGCCACAGGTTGATCATGGACACTAACAGCTTAATTTGAGATAAATGACTTATGAGTTTCTCTAAAGTTAACTCTTAAGTTGTGTACTCCAGTCATTTATGGACATTTATGGAAATGAACCTGCAAATGTTCAAATACTCACGAAACTTTGCACAGACCTTCCTGAAGGTATGAATAAACGATTTTCGTTTGGAGACATTTTTTTGACCGTGGAAAAAACCCAGGAGGGCCACGCCCATATTGACCCAATAACGTAACCGACCCCTTGCTTCTGAAGGTCGTAGAGGCTTCAAAATAGGCTTAAACGAAGCCGCATTTGCATGTTTATATAGGAGTTATTGAGCAACACATGGCCTAAAATCCTTACTTTTCGAGAAATTCGCCAAAAACCATTTTGGGCGTGGTGCTAAGCCCATTTTCGATAGGATCGTGATAGAGTCTTTAGACAGGGTGCAAAAGAACCGCAATTAGCATATTAATATATGACTTACGAACAAACATATGCCTTAAAGTGCTTACTTTTTCAGTTATAGGCGAAAAACTGATTTTCGGTTCCAGAAATCATACAAAACTATGGGTATCTGGTAACTTGGGCTATGAAGGCCCTAGGGGTTTTTGAATGTGTGCAAATTGTGCAGAATGGCCATGTTTATATACAACTTATGAAGCAACATGTACCCTAAATTACTTACTTTTCGAGTTATTTGGGGGAAAAGATTGTATTATGTCCATTTTCTACCTGTAAAATACATTCTCACGAGCTCTTCTGCGCGCGGGAGGGACTTTATGACGTCATCGCCAAAATAATACAAACGCTATTTACACGCGTTAGAGAGCAGTTAGAGATTTAGGAATTTCGACTCGTTGCTTAGTTTGCTATTTGTCACAATCTGTCAAAATATGAGGATAACTTTTTTTTCAGTTAACTGGTCCTTTAATATTTCCCTTACAATCCACCCCACCGTATAGATCTACCAGAAGTGCGCATTTTCTCTACCAGAAGTGCGCATTTTCTCTACCAGAAGTGCGCATTTTCTCTACCAGAAGTGCGCATTTTATCTACCAGAAGTGCGCATTTTATCTACCAGAAGTGCCCATTTTCTCTGAACTATCCTCCGCCTGTTATAGTACTACAATATTTGTCAGTTTGTCACAGGAACCGTTTAATGTACACGTAGTACTGTGTATGTGCGGAGTTGTCGACACTTGCTATAACTTCTGTACAATGTTCTCAGTGATATTAGTCTGGTATACACACCTGCAATGTGTCTTACATCCCGTACAGCGATGGAGCAATGTGAGACTAGACGTGTTTCACAGGAAGCATACCTATTGATTTAACCTATTTATAGGTTACACTAATTCTGAAACCTATTTTCAGGTTTCTGATAGTTTATTTTGAACCTGATTGCTTACATCATGTACAGTAATGGAGCAACGTGATACAAGTCGTGTCAGGGTTTCGCAGAATAATAGGTTTTACAGGGCATATCTAGAAGATGTGTAGTAGTTGTACAGCAATACGAAGGTAATGGGACTACTATTATAATCTAGAGGTTGTTGGAAATGGAATCCTATCTTTAGATTTATAACTGGAAACCTGTCTGTAGGTTTTACTAAAAACTTAGTATGTTTAGGTTTATATGCTGATTTATTTTGAACTTTTTCAACGGTTAAAATGAGCGTTTAAACTTGATCAACTGACAATGATTCAGCGAGTGTCTACTCATCAAAGGGATGAGGAAATCACATCATCAATATTTGATCAATAGAAATTGACGAGTACACAATCTCAGCACGATAATTAGAATCACACGACAGATATTGATTGCAAAAGTGTACGTTGTAACCCGAGATGGCAGATCAGTGATTGAATGTTGGGGAACACGTCCTGTAAATCACCGTTTTACGGTGATCCCTTGTAAATCACCGTTATACTGTGGTGGTGAGCCACTAAAATTATCACCGTGTGATAATTCCGTATCAAACAACAATATCACCGGGCAAATCACTGGTGTTATATCACCAGGGTAACAAGATTCGCCGTTAATAATTAGGATTTCATTTCAATCACCAGGATCACCTACAAATCACCAAGATCACTTTAAAATCGTCTACAAATTACAAGGATCACCTACAAATCACCAGGATCGTCTACAAATTACAAGGATCACCTACAAATCACCAAGATCACTTTAAAATCGTCTACAAATTACAAGGATCACCTACAAATCACCAAGATCACTTTAAAATCGTCTACAAATTACAAGGATCACCTACAAATCACCAGGATCGTCTACAAATTACAAGGATCACCTAGTAAAAATCACCAGGATCACCTACAAATCACCAGGATCACCTAGTACAAATCACCAGGATCTCCTAGTAGTAGTATAACAAATCATTAGGATCACCTAGTACAAATCACCAGGATCATCACCGTACCTGTCCCGCGGTAAACTTGAGATGCTCGCCCACATACGGCGTATCATAGATCTGCTGTCCCCCACCACCCCGCTGATCCACCGGCGACGAAGACGAATGGTGGTGATCAGACCAATGCTGGTCTGGCTCTGGTGTCGGTGATCTCAGGGGGTCGTCGGCGGCGGCGGATGTCGTCGTCGGTGGCGGCGGTATGGCGTGTTGGTAACTGTGGTAACGCGATCTAGTGTGAATAGGGGATCTTGACATTCAGCTGCTACGGGCCGCTCTCTGCTGTGTCACTTGATATAGTAGTAGTAATACGATAGGTGCTCAAACACTATGCTTATGTTACGCAGTATAGCTGACACCCAATACACTGAGATTTAGGGTTTACTATTTCAGCGCCAGGAAGAGCGAAAGCTACTACGGTTACAACAAGTACACGGCTGGGTGTATCAAATAACTGCTCTCCAGCTCTCAGCGAAGGTCTTGTCATCGCCGAGCGCCTCTTCCACGAGGGTTTCCCGCCTCCTCCACGGACCTCTCTCCAGCCCGGCAGAAGCCGCGTCATGTGTGTATCACGTGGTGTCCATGGTAACTCACGTGCACCGAAGACTGGGTTAGCACGGCTTATACAGAGTCACGGGGTGCGGGTTTTGGTAATGATTCAATTAGTAGAACTGATAAGAGCGATGAGTAGATGGGGGTAAGACCCGGAGCCCGGGGTCCCCTGCATTTCTCACTCTCAATCCACGGCCAGACCTCTCATCCTATCTTCTCATCAACCTTTCTTTCTCTCTCGTCAACCTCCCACGACTATTTTCGTTAACACACCGTCTCGTCGCTGTGTGTCGTGTTAAAGTCCTTGGCCCAGGGCCCAGGCTGATGTGGCTATTGTGGTGTTATTTACTCCGCAAAACATAAATTTACACGATAACACTTTGGGTCACGTGACTGCGAGGATAATTCTCTGTGTAATTTGCAGGGCTCCCTGGGAGAGTGAGAGAGGGAGGCAGAGAAGGGGCTGTATAATTCTCAGGGGCTCATTTAATTATCTTTCCTGTTTTTTATCACTGGTTGAAGTTTTTTGTTATCTGTTAGCTCTGTTTTCAACAGTTGAAATAGAAGTGTCGGAGAATAAGCAGTCGCAGCACAAAGTCACCCTTATAACTGGATAATTCAGATTCACAGTAATCGATCGTTTATTATTATTATTTAGCATTACCACGCACAAGAGACTTATTGCCAATTAACACCAATTAACACACATTCCTTCACATTCTTCAGCTAACTAACGCTCGATCTTCAGCGGACCCGTCAGAGACAGCAGTCCCTGAGTAATCACCTTCAGCCCTAGAGTCACCTCTCACCCTCTCTTCAGCTCTCTCTATCTTTCTCCGGCTCATAAATTCAATTTGGTGACTACTTGGAGTTTCTACTGAGGTGTATTGATCACTGATCTCAAAGCTCGACTTCAGGATGAAATCATGTGCTTTAACTGATTAGCTTGAGAATGTAACATTGAGGAAGGTTACATTTTTGACCCTCACAAGAGACAACAGGGGAAATGTTATGACTTTAAACAGTCTGAGCCAGAAAGAGAGAGGAGTTGGAGACAGTTTGAGTTAGGGGATGGAGGGAAGGGAGGTAACGCAGGGAGGGACAGCAAAATAGGGATAATATGGGCCATTTTGTATCAGCCACCGTACGTTATCCATATGGCGCCTCATACGGCCTCTAGGCGGCCCCTATACGACCTTTATATCAATATGGTGATAGTATAGTGAACGTATGTTGGCCTTATGTTGACCGTATTTTGGCCGTATGTTGACCGTATGTTGGCCGTATGGTAGCCGTATGGTGGCCGTATGGTGGCCGTATGGTGGCCGTATGGTAGGCGTATGGTAGGCGTATGGTGGCCATATGTTGGCCGTATGATGGCCGTATAGTGGCCGTATGATGGCCGTATAGTGGCCGTATCATGGCCGTATCATGGCCGTATGGTGGCCGTATGATGGCCGTATGGTGGCCGCATGGTGGTTGTATAGAGGACGTAGGGGGTAATTATCATAGTAAGAGTGATCAAGATTGATAGAGGGATGGAAAATCTGGCTGAGGCACCTATTCACCTAGTAAAAACGGCGGCGTACAATAATAGCAGATAGGAAGAAAAGGGACGAAGAAAAATAATATGGGAAAACGGGTAGAAGTATATACAGTATACACAGATGGGATGATTATAACGGGTAGAAGTATATACAGTATACACAGATGGGATGATTATAACGGGTAGAAGTATATACAGTATACACAGATGGGATGATTATATGTGGGTATAGAGGACGGTAGGGTTTAAACACGAAAGGGAATGGAATAAGGAATGGATAGAGAGGAGAAAAGAAGACAAAGAGTAACGAATTAAAAATAGGTATTCTGAAAAAGTGCAGACAAAACTATCTTTAATCATCTAAAATAAATATAATCACCTGTATCTCTATCAATTTATCAATCAGTATCTTTTTCTCCTCCTCTGTCTTAGCAATATTATCTAACCCTCCGACACCCAATTTCTGCAACAGCTTCTCAGCTGAAAAGATGTTATCAACATCCGGAGGTGGATCGGAGTCCATGTCAGAGCTGATCGTTCCGGCGTTTTGAGATGGATTCTCGTTTTCAATCCCCGTGATGTTAAGGGTTTCAGTTGTGGCTGAGCTTGGACCACTGGAGGAGAGAAGGTCGGCTCCTTGTTTCAGGATTTCGGTTGAAGCGTTTATAACTGCTTCGAACTCCTGTAAAATAATTATGGTAATTTTAAATTAGAATTAGAATCTTCCTTTGATTAATCGTGATGATGTTAATATTCAGTGACAACATCTAATTTGTATACCACTCATTTTTGAATTTATCATCGGTTTTTATTATATTATTACCACGACCGTCGTTAATAATTCGAAGTAAGTTGTCTGTAAAACTATTAGATATAAAATTTTATGGAAATGAACTGTTTGTAAGAACGGTTGCAGAGGTTATTCACTATGAAAATTAACCCGTCCAATAGAATCCTTTGTTGGTTTTGTCCATAGAATCCTTTGTTGGTTTTGTCCATAGAATCCTTTGTTGGTTTTGTTATGAAAATGAACCTGTATTATAATATGGCAATTAAACTGTAACAAAACAAACCTGTTCGTAAGTACGCTTGGAGGTGATGTTCAAGGTATCCACATCTACATCAACCTCTGTTTCCTCCTGCTTGATCACCACTGTAGACGACATCACGGGAGATGTTACTGGTCCTGGTTAATAATGTTGAGTTAGATGGTTGTTCACCAGCCACCAGGTGAATGCAGTTCACCTGCACCTCCTATAAATTGTTCGTTATGAACAGTGTTTAGTTATCACCATCACCTCCTGTTGGCCGGAAAAACATATTGTGTATTTCCTTTCGTGCGTCCAAATACAACACATTAAAACTCATTACTGAGGCTTCGTGTTGAAGAGGAGATATTTGTACAGAATCAGACCAAACAAACTTACAAAGCACACATTGTTTGGTTCAACTGTGGAATGTGGATAGAACAGAAAGTTCAGCGGGAGGAGTTATCCTGTTATATAAACAATATACATAATAAACAATAAACATGATCAGGGTTCAAGTTTATACAATTTCAGACAAGGGATTAGAGACGTTATGTGATATGAAATTAACACAATTAAGTGCTGTACCATTTTATAATGGATTAGAAAATTCGTTGGCTATAACGAATAAACTGGATGACCCCAACTAGCTGGTAGTGACTGGTGGTACTAGCTGGTACTCGTACTGCAGTCTACAACTAGCTGGTACTCGTACTGCAGTCTACAACTAGCTGGTACTCGTACTGCAGTCTTTACCAACTAGCTGGTACTCGTACTGCAGTCTACAACTAGCTGGTACTCGTACTGCAGTCTTTACCAACTAGCTGGTACTCGTACTGCAGTCTACAACTAGCTGGTACTCGTACTGCAGCCTTTACCAACTAGCTGGTACTCGTACTGCAGTCTACAACAAGCTGGTACTCGTACTGCAGTCTACAACAAGCTGGTACTCGTACTGTAGTCTTTACCAACTAGCTGGTACTCGTACTGCAGTCTACAACTAGCTGGTACTCGTACTGCAGTCTACAACTAGCTGGTACTCGTACTGCAGTCTACAACTAGCTGGTACTCGTACTGCAGTCTACAACTAGCTGGTACTCGTACTGCAGTCTACAACTAGCTGGTACTCGTACTGCAGTCTACAACTAGCTGGTACTCGTACTGCAGTCTACAACTAGCTGGTACTCGTACTGCAGTCTACAACTAGCTGGTACTCGTACTGCAGTCTACAACTAGCTGGTACTCGTACTGCAGTCTACAACTAGCTGGTACTCGTACTGCAGTCTACAACTAGCTGGTACTCGTACTGCAGTCTACAACTAGCTGGTACTCGTACTGCAGTCTACAACTAGCTGGTACTCGTACTGCAGTCTACAACTAGCTGGTACTCGTACTGCAGTCTACAACTAGCTGGTACTCGTACTGCAGTCTACAACTAGCTGGTACTCGTACTGCAGTCTACAACTAGCTGGTACTCGTACTGCAGTCTACAACTAGCTGGTACTCGTACTGCAGTCTACAACTAGCTGGTACTCGTACTGCAGTCTACAACTAGCTGGTACTCGTACTGCAGTCTACAACTAGCTGGTACTCGTACTGCAGTCTACAACTAGCTGGTACTCGTACTGCAGTCTACAACTAGCTGGTACTCGTACTGCAGTCTACAACTAGCTGGTACTCGTACTGCAGTCTACAACTAGCTGGTACTCGTACTGCAGTCTACAACTAGCTGGTACTCGTACTGCAGTCTACAACTAGCTGGTACTCGTACTGCAGTCTACAGCTAGCTGGTACTCGTACTGCAGTCTACAACTAGCTGGTACTCGTACTGCAGTCTACAACTAGCTGGTACTCGTACTGCAGTCTACAACTAGCTGGTACTGGTACTGCAGTCTACAACTAGTTGGTACTGGTACTGCAGTCTACAACTAGCTGGTACTCGTACTGCAGTCTACAACTAGCTGGTACTCGTACTGTAGTCTTTACCAACTAGCTGGTACTCGTACTGCAGCATACAACTAGCTGGTACTCGTACTGCAGTCTACAACTAGCTGGTACTCGTACTGCAGTCTACAACTAGCTGGTACTCGTACTGCAGTCTTTACCAACTAGCTGGTACTCGTACTGCAGTCTACAACTAGCTGGTACTCGTACTGCAGTCTACAACTAGCTGGTACTCGTACTGCAGTCTACAACTAGCTGGTACTCGTACTGCAGTCTACAACTAGCTGGTACACGTACTGCAGCCTACAACTAGCTGGTACTCGTACTGCAGTCTACAACTAGCTGGTACTCGTACTGCAGTCTACAACTAGCTGGTACTCGTACTGCAGTCTACAACTAGCTGGTACTCGTACTGCAGTCTACAACTAGCTGGTACTCGTACTGCAGTCTTTACCAACTAGCTGGTACTCGTACTGCAGTCTACAACTAGCTGGTACTCGTACTGCAGTCTACAACTAGCTGGTACTCGTACTGCAGTCTACAACTAGCTGGTACTCGTACTGCAGTCTACAACTAGCTGGTACTCGTACTGCAGTCTTTACCAACTAGCTGGTACTCGTACTGCAGTCTTTACCAACTAGCTGGTACTCGTACTGCCACAGTCTTTACCAACTAGCTGGTACTCGTACAGTCTTTTCGGTACAGATTCCACAATAGCACAGACGCGACCCCAGGTCATTAACTAGCATGAACCCGTCTAACCCTAAAGTGGTATCAAGACTCAAGGGACTAAAATAATTATTAGCACTAAAAATTCTTGTTCCTTGGCCAATTTGTATTTTGTCATGCTGATTTGAAAGAAATTAAAACATTTGAACCAGTCAAAAAGTTTAAGTTGTATATCTTTTACGGTTTTTGCGGAAAGTCGTGTTTGGTGAATAACGGATGCCCCTTGCGGCTTTGAGATCTTGGGCCCAATCAGTATTCGAACTCGTAACCTCAGGAATAATAGGCCGGTGACTGTAGACTATAATCATAGACACTAATAGACCTGTGAGTTTACCGATTAAAAAAAGGCATTACAAATAATTATGGTGATATTCATACGAACGTGAGCTCATATACCCAGCACTGAGCACAGTGCTTCACCAAATAACCAGGTTCCCACACAGCCTGCAGCTATAAGTTTTAAGGTAATTAATCAAGTTAATGACTTACTTAATTAGTTATAATAGTTTCCGGAAAGGAGTCATGTGACCCATTAATGGTCATGGTTGCAACTTAAGTCGCTCAAAATGTGTGTTTATTATGTTGCTGTTTGCAAAAAAAACTTGTCGCACATATTCTAACTGCTAATTGTTATATTATCATTTACTAAATTATCAACTATCAAATTAAACCATCGAAAAACCATACAAAATAAAAACACCAAAACTGACACATATTTTAAAATATTTGGTGCAAATACAAAGTTATATCTAGATGCTGCAAAGTCTAAGAGAAACGCCAGAGTTTATAACCGCTAATGATTTAAACCTGATGACATTATAAACTAACGATAAGATTATTTGTTTTTTTAAGTACCTAAAAGTACGTGAATTTAGATCGTTTCGTGCGTAAAGTGCGTAAAGTGCGCACGAACCAACTATGCTTCAAAATATTCGGCGCATTTAAAGCTACATCAACATGCTGCGACTTCAAACGCCACGGTTTGTAACCGCTAATGTTTTAACGCTAATGACATTATAACTATATGCTAATGATCGGCAAGTACAGTCGTCAAAACACCATCATCTTTCATTAGTACTTTTAATTGTGTTTACAATAACCCCGTCTGTAGTCATTAGTGTCAAGTGTGACAGCGGTTGCACACATACCAATTACCTGAACTTTCTTCAGTCTGAACACAAGAAAAGTTTATTCCCGGAGGATGGGTTTTTAGGGATCACAGTCGCTGGTTGTCGTGATCTTCTGTGACAGCCATAGAACTGGCTATATAAGTAAGCTGTAAGTCACAGTAAGTAAACTGTAAGTTATATTACTTAATACCATTATTATATTATATTACTTATAGTTATATACAGTAACTTATATTACTGTAAGTAAACTGGCTATATAATGAATTTGAATTATGTCGGTCAGTTTCATTGATTGCGATGCTTATCACATTGCGTCCAAGACGCTTCTGCCTACTGTGAATTTTCGATCCGTACAACGAAATTTAACGGGAAAGTGACGTTATTCAATTAAAATTAAAAAGACATTAACGCTCTTCGACCAAAATTGTCGACAAATTTTCAGTATTAATGAGTTATTTATTTTAACGGGAGAGTTCAGATTCAACGAAATACGCCGCTTTTTTAAGAGTTTGACCGTGAATTAGGGACAAGTTGGACTATCACAATTATGCCAGAATTAGAACTATGATAACCACAAAGCAGAAAGGAGGACGGATTTTCTCCCCCTCGATTATTGAAACTAAACTTCTCGACAGTAACTTTCCATCTTTAATGTCAAAGTCATAAACGAGGGTTAGGAACTTAAGATACATAACGTCATTTCTATTTTAAAGTAGCGGGAGCCGGGAAAAAGTTAAAACATTTCGACATTTATCAATAGGTTAAATAATCATACAGACAGTACAAACATTGATAAAAGCTATATCAAACCGTAATAATCCACTATATATAAGTATAACCATATTGTGTATAATATCTAGATCTATTATATATATCTTGATGCTGAACTGGAAGTTGATGTTAATAACACGGCCGGTGTTCTAGTAAATAATGTACAGCTATATAAAATGTATAACTATATAAAAATGTATAACTATAGCCATGTAACCAGTACAGATATAAAGGTATAATCATTATCATGATGTTATTCACACCAAAACGTTAATAATTCCTGGTCTGGGCCTGGTCTAACTCTAACTCTAACAAAGCTGCTATAAAATTCCAGGTATGCGTGGTTTTAGGAGTGCAATCTTGAAGGATCCTTTGTGGAGTTCCGGTTCAGAAATAATTTATAAATAATTGTATAAATACAATTGCAAACTGGTTTAAAAGTGCAAAACCTACTTTTACGTTTAGAAAGTTCAACCGTAAAATTAACGATTCTAAAACTTTTTCGTGTCACTCATTAAATCGCGAACTATAAAAAGAGTAAAAGCTCAAATTAAGACATAGGGACGAAAAACGAACGGTTACAAAAACTGCCAAATCAGCCAAATTGTGTAGATTGCATTATACGGGGAATGGGGATAACATTATTTTCATCTTATCTCTTCTAAACTTTATAAGGAGCTAGCAATGGGCAACAACCCGAAAAAGCTGAACTAAAAACCCAAATACAAAGTAACACATTTTACCGATTACAACTCTGAAGTCACACCAGATTACAGTCTCACAGCGAAACTATACCTCAACAACATACACAGCAAAATTGTATACTGTATATTATACTAAATAACGGAATAAACTCAACGCTGCTATCCAATCTTTCTCTAAAAACAGAATCACACAAGGCTTGCAGTATATTCTGCACCAATTTGCTCTGTCGAAAGAAATATGTACTGCACAACAACACTACAATGGAGGTAGGATAGAAAGCTATTGCAATATGTACTGCACAACAACACTACAATGGTTGTAGGATAGAAAGCAACATATTGTACTACACAACACAACAAATGAGGGTAGGATGCTTGCGGAGGTAGGATAGAAAAATAAAATTGTGTCCGGCTTAAAGGCGCACACTACTGTGTGATTCACAGAGTTGTAAGCAGTGCAGCCTGGTGAGATAGCCGGAAACGTAGCTATCAAATTACCTGATGAACTATCCGTACAATTAGATTACAAGTTGGTCACGTGACAGTTTGGTAACTATTGCTGTGTGAGGGCAACTGTGGGGGTAACTGTGCAGGTGTACACACTGTATATGTATACTTGTATTGATGTACTCTATACTGGTTAACACAAACGCAAGCTATACAATACGAGGACAACTCTGTACATGCTCAATGTGAGAGAGAGAGGGAGCGGTGTGTCACGTGGGCTGCTCTGCGTGTCACGTGATCTCATATCAAGCTGCGTTTAGCGCTGCCATAGCTACCACGTGACAGTTGCTTAGTGCGCGTCACGTGGCCCACGTGCAAGCTATTTTGTAATATGATAGTTGTGCTGGTGGACGCCTATATTAATTAAACATTTGCTTGATGTGTGAGCAAATGGGCCGATACATGTACATATTATAGTGCACTCACGTGACAGCAAGCCAATAGATTATATTACAGTATTACAGTTTTACTATTTACTGGCGTGCTCCACGCACCGGTGGTTAATATTGTAATGCTATGACATGTTTGTCGCGTTTTTTTTTTTCACAGCAACACCTGCGGGCAACACTCGCAACGTAATAAAATAAAAATACCACGAGTATGAAAATAATACAAACGATTTTAAAACTTATCTATTGATCTCTCTCTCTCTCTCTCTCTCTCTCTCTCTCTAGCTCTCTCTCTCTCTCTCTCTCTCTCTCTCTCTCTCTCTCTCTCTCTCTCTCTCTCTCTCTCTCTCTCTCTCTCTCTCTCTCTCTCTCTCTCTCTCTCTCTCTCTATCTCTCTCTCTCTCTCTCTCCCACTGGCTGAAAACACAAAGCCCGGGAGTGGGTGTCAAGTGTCGAGGAAGTGGCAGATCAGCCCCCTTTTAGTATAATGACCCAGCAAATTGCTTGGCAGGGTTAGCCATAATTCTCAAGATTCTGCATTTAGTGAAACCTGAGAACGAGAGACAATGACCACAATTATTGTGATCTGATGAACCCATGAGCGATCAGTCAGTGCGATTCTTTGCAGCAGCACGCGTATATGTGCATTATATAATATATATGCATTATATGTGCATGCTATACAGGATGGAGGGTATAATATAACTCTCAATATTAAAAAGTATCACGTGCTCGATAATTGAAAGCTTGTGTATCTGTATACTCTCGCCCTGTGGAATGTTATGTTATATGTGATATGTGAAAGTTGAGCTATTATAATGACAAAGATGAGCTCCACGTGTGGGAATATATTTGTACAGTATGTTAATGTACATGTATTACTATTTTAAGTATTGCGCTAATATAGAAAGAGTAACCTCTTCAGCTCTTTCCTCCCCCTGTTTCTCTCACTATTGATGTTTCGGCTCTTTTCTCCCATTATTGATCAATCGACCATCTTTCTCTCCCTCTCGATTTTTTTGCCCTCTTTCTCCCCTTCTCTCCATCTCGGTCTATTCGCCCTCTTTCGATTTTTATCTCTGATCTATCGGCCATCTTTCTTTCCTTTTCGATTTATCGACCCTCTTTCACTCCCTGTTGATCAATCGGCCCTATTTCTCTCCCTGTTGATCAATCTGCCCACTTCACTTTTGAAGAAATGCGTTGTAGCAAAGTATTTAAGCTCGCATTGTAGACTTTAAGAAGGCTTTCGACAGTGTACATCGTGGGAAAATGTCCAAGATTCTAGAAGCTTACGGCATTCCAGTCAAAATCGTACGCGTAGAGCTTATACGGCTCATGTACGAGAAGAGTGAAGACAATGGCCAAAGTTGAAATTCCTAACTCCAGACGGAGAAACGGAATTGTTCGAGATACTAGCACTAGGTGTGTTACAAGGTGATAACTTAGCACCTTACCTCTTTGCAATAGGCATCGACTACTGTATGAGGCAAGCCATAGGTGATGATGCGGAGCGACTTGGACTCACTCTCGAACGTAGAAAAAGCAGAAGAGTGGAGCCCAAGATCATCACCGATGTGGACTGCATGGACTTTGCAGATGATATAGCACTTTATATATCTGAGGACATGGACAAGGCTAACGAGTTCCTGCTCTGAGTAGAATCGGCGGCAACGAGCGTGGGGCTACACAAAAACGAAGGCAAGACCAAGGTTATGACATTGAATAAGGAGGATCGATCTATAAGTGACCTCCAAAGTCGATCTGGGAAAGCAATAGAAAATGTGAATGATTTCATCTACATAGGTTCCTGAATTGAGAGCACAGATAGGGAGATAAGGGTTAGAATTAGAAAGAGAAAAGCATGGAGTGCCCTACTGCATAGTGATAGACTGAAGGATATCTGGAAATCCAAACTCTCAAACTCAAAGAGCCTGAAGATTGGATTGTTCATAGTGGCTTGTGAGTCAGTACTGCTCTACGGATCAGAAACCTGGACACTGACAAAGCTCAATACAATACAAGAGAAAAGTTTGGACGGGACATACACAAAGATGCTGCACGTATGGTGCTGGGTATCTCATGGAACTGGAAGGACAAGGTCAGCAATATAACTTAGTATGGTAGCCTTCCAAGGCTGTCAAACAAGTTACGAAGCAGGAGATTAAAAATGGCATCAGACATCCTGAACTGTTAGCCAGTGATTTAGTTTTATAGGAGCCTATGCATGATAGAGCACAGCAAGCCCGACCAAGACAAAGCTACTTGTTTATGTTACTGGAGGAAGTTGGGACAAACTCTAAAGAGGAACTGCGAACCCTGATGCGGGACAGAGATATATATCAATATGGAGGGCGTTATCTGACGTAGATTAGGACTTAGTTCCGCCGGGGTTCCGCCATAGTAGTAGTATAATAGTCGTAGTATGGTAAAGCTAGTTACCTTAAGAACGACAAATTTAGTCTACCATAAATTTAGTCAAACTTTTGACTAAAATTGTTGTAAACCAAATTTCATGCTCATTTAGTCTCAAGACTAAATTTTTCGGCGACTAATTTTAAAGCAGACTCGGCCAAATTTTTAAGCAGACTCGGCTAAATTCTAAATATTTTTGTAGCATATACGGAATCACGATTTTTCACGTTTGCCGCAACAAATCGCAATTTTTTCAGATCCAGTTCTCCGCGACAAATTGCACATTTCCTTTAAATCTGAAAACCAAATTCGCCTATTTTCCTTCAAATCTGTGGGCCAAATATTGCGTTTTCTATAAATGATATTGATAAATCTATAAAAATCTGAACATGCTGAACGCCTAATTTTTTCAGAGACGGTAGATTATCAAATGTTACATATGATCTCAAAACATGAGGCAAAACGGATTAGAAATGACGAAGTAATCAAGCATTTTCTGTATCTCGTTAACAAAATTGACTGGGTGATTATGTGACACCGTGACACGACACCTTAATTGGGCAACCTTAACAATTCCCATAATGTTTAACGGGGTGGTCAACGGGGTCACCTTATCACGTGTGATTAGGTAAACCAATCACCTGATCACACGTAATAAACAAAATCGTTATGCTTCATATCTCGTTCATCTGAGGAGCTACAGTTCTAATTCTTTCAGGACAAACGTAATTCGAATGGCCAAACACAATTCAATAATATTTAGCTCGATCTGACTATCCAAACTATCAAATAAATGTGAAAATGAACCTCCATTTGAAAAAAATGAACACGAATATTTTTCGAGTTGACAAATTTCTCGAACCAGTGGTGGTACTAAGTCATACCAGAAAGAAGTATTTAAATTGGGCACTCAGTGACTGAGCTATTAAGGCCGACGTATGGGTACTGACTTTTGGCCCACCCTGTATATGAAACCAATCACATACACAGCCTTCCAAATAGAATGTAGGTACGAATATAATGTAGTCCGGACTTCAGAAAACCGAAAAATATTTTCGGCTCATAATGATCAGAGTAGCATGAAACATGAACAAAAGTAGTTTCCAGGAAAAAATTGAAAAATTTTGTTGGCCCCTTGACCAGATTGTATGGGGGGGGGGGGGGGGGGGGGGGGGTGATGGCCCCCTGCCCCCCCCCCCCCCTGTAAACGTATTTCATTCGTTAATATTTGATTTCATGGCAAGATTTGGATAAAAATTGAATTTAACAAAAGCTAAAGTTTACACAAATCAAAAATGTACTAGCAGGAACCCGTTTAAACTTGGTGTCCCGTGTCAGGAGATAACGTCAACAATATTTTATTTTATTCATTTAGTGATTTTGACACCACTTATATTATTGGGGTCCAAATTTCCAAAATTATTATTCCTTGGCAAATTTTTAATTTCTTTATACTGGTTAAAAAGTTGCTACATATAGACATACTATACATGGCCATTCGAATTACGTTTGTCCTGAAAAAATTAGGGCTGTAGCCTTCCCAGATGACCGAGATATGAAGCATAACGAGTTTATTCATTATGTGTGATCAGGTGACTGGTCTACCTAATCACGTGATTAGGTGACCCCCGAACCCGTTAACCACCCCGTTAAACATTATGGGAATTGTTAAGGGTGCCCAATTAAAGTGTCGTGTCACGGTGTCACTTAATCACCCAGTAAATTTAGTTAATGAGATACAGAAAATGTTTGATAAATTCGTCATTTCTAATCCGTTTTGCCTCATATCTCTTCATGTTTTTAGATCATATGCAACATTTAATAATCTACCGTCTCTGAAAAAAATTAGGCGTTCAGCAGGTTCAGAGAAAACAATATAGGTGTTTATTATATCACGCGACGGGCGTGGTCTAAAATATTTGATATTCGAATTTTCAAATTTTGACGACGGAATCCTCGAACCAGGAAGTACAGTATGCCATCTGCAAAGCAACAGCTCTCAAATATGAAACACGGCGGAGCTATTAAGGCCAACGTATGTCCACTGACTTTTGGCCCACGTCCTGTATGTATATAGATAGATGTATATATTAGAGTTAACTCATAACTGTTAAGGTCGGGATCAGATAAGATCGAGGGTATTAGGCTAGGGATTCGAATAGTCAACCAGGGCCCCTAGGGCCGGGAACAGGTTAAAAAATTCACGTGACAGTTGCAACATGAGTGTAGAGTGATTAATCATCATATCCAAAGAGACTGGAGACATTCGTTTTTAGAAACATTTAATGTGTACTAGGATCAAGACCTCATAAAAATTCCTAGCGAGACTGTGATGGTGACACTGCTAATGGATTTATTACTACGTTGTTTATTTTTATATCATCGTCACATGCAAACGGACTAGGACTTAATCTCGTTAGTTTTAGATTATATTTATATTATATTACTCAGTTAGTTATATGTTATATAAATAATAAACGGTTCTGCACTTTGGCGAAGGCTTCAGCGTATTAAATTTTTACCATGATTTTATAGGCTTCACCGTCTTTAATTCATCGCAACCGGCCGTTTTTAAATTTGCTGCGGGCTGCCTGGAAGAAGTAAGGTCAGAGTGTGGGGTGACCTTTAAATAATATCTATTTTTATAGACCTGTTTTGTGTTTTGGCCTTTTTAATTTTCCACTTTTGAAGCCTTGTCGTCTTTAGTTATTTTCATTTGAAGGCTTTGTCTTTATATAAAGCGTGTCTTTATTAAACTAACCCGAACCGAGTGTATTTACATTTAACATGGCTGTTTTAAGTTTTTGCAGTGCATCAAATGCTAATTTTACGCGTCGATCCACGCAACAAAATTTGCGGGGCAAATTTCGACGCAACTACAAACTAGCAACTAGACTCTGAGTCTAATACCTGGAGACCCAGACTTAGAGTTCACAAACGGGCGGTCAGCCTGTCCCGGCCCCAGCTATTAGCAATTGTTTGGTCCAATATTACATTATTCAATAAATTTCTGCTTGCAGTACCCACGTCACATGATCACCAAAGCCTTGTTTTGGAAATTTTCTTGGTAATTCCTGATTCTGTGATACATCATTTGGCACAGTCGGACAATTAAATCACTTGTATCACGTATTTGTGTTAAATCCGCCTATAAGTATTGATATATTAGAGCCGACCGTGCATGATTTGAATCGGTATCATATACACACGTACTGACGCGCGCCTGTTATGCGCGCAGCATCCAAGACAACGACTCATGTGGACTTTTCAGATATTATCGTATACAGCGCGTTACATCCACCTCAGAAAGTAGACCCTTTCAAGCAAGTGAACTTGATCTTCAGGATTTGTTACCAGTCCCCAAACAGTTCTAATAGAAAGTCTGTACTGCTAATAAACCTATCATCAATACAAGTATCTTAACATCATCGGTTAACAAAATACTTCCAAAAACACTTCCGTCACCGGTGGAAAGCAGATAATAGGAAAGTCGAGAGAAATAATTTTGTAATTAAATTATTATACCAACAACCAAGTCGTAAATATACTGCTTACAAGATAAAGAGTAAAAATTGAAATACTAACCATAAAATATGCATAAAATATGCATAAAATATGCATAAAATGCTCTGAAAATATTTCAACAGTTTAATTTTTTGACTGTGTTGATTCCGGTACTGTTTCAAAAATATGTAATTTGAATTAAGCTAGTTGTGACTGTAACATAGGTTATTTTAATAGGCTGAAAGGCTCGACAATATAAATGAACGTTTCAAACAGAGATCCAGATGACCGTTCATAATTCAACATTTCACTAATCTCAACGTAAACAAAACAAAACTGAACATGTATTTGTTTTATTTGCTTCATCATGGTAGACCTTTCACTGCACAATGCACAAACTTTTGCATTCCTGAACATCTTTAATGAATTATTTCACAAAAATCCAATTTATTTAGCACCACAATATTTGTGATGTACTGGGTTCTGAGCTCTGTATTGCTATTTCACGAATTAGGATCGCTATGATAGGAATTTAGGAACCATCCCCTAGATCAGTGACAACATCAGAGTCTGGGATATTCTCTGAATTTTCACACAAGTTCTCTTTCTGCGATTGGGCCTCGTTAGCACACGTGATCTTAAGGCCATCCTCAGATTGATTAAGCTCAACCTCTGTGTTCTCAGTTTCAATCTCTTTTTCTGTTTCCCTTTCAGAAGTTTCCTCCGTTTCTTCCCCTCCGACTTTTTCTGACGGTTCCGGTGTAGAGACAGGATTAATACCCTCAGCAGACTCTTCCCCTCTTATCTGCTCTGTTATCTGCTCTGTTATCTGCTTTGTTATCTGCTTTGTTATCTGCTTTGTTATCAGCTCCTCCTTTACTTTCAGCTCTGGCAGCTCACTTGGTTCAGTGCTCTGTTCTGTTTCTTCAGAATGCTCCGTTTCAGCACTATCTTCTGTTTCTCCCGCCCCCTCTTGTTTATCTTCTTCTTCCTCCTCATCATACTCGAACTCGTCTTCGTGGTACGCTAACTCGTGCGAATACCTGAGGATAAATAGTTCAAATACCTGTTGATTATTTACCAAAATCGAGTAAACTAATTAAATACTTAATTAGATTAAGTGAATAACCATTTTAATTACCATTTAAACCAATAGTCTATGTTAAGAATATGATTGTAATTTCAAATAAATAAATAATTAAATAAAGTCCAATTTTATACAGCAATTTATCGATACATATTTGTGTCAGTTATTTTTTTGGTCTTCCAATGGTTGTAGATGCGTAGGTGATCATAAAGATCACCGCTGACTAGCAGTTCTGTGCTCTCACTATAAAAGCCAGGGCTGTGAATCGGAGGTACCCCGCTAGTGCCCCCCTGTCAGTACCTAGTCGATTAAGTCGACCTTAGCCTCTCTGCAACAAGTCCTCCTGATGCCTCCACGTGGTGAAGACTGGATACTGGACGATGGATGGTGGTGAACTCCAGGCAAGAATCAGGATGGGCGACGGGTAGATAGCTGACCCCCGGAGAGACAAGATAGGAACGTCAGTTGTCTCTCGAACTCCTAGCCTCTGAAGATGAGAGGTGCGGAGCATCAGCTGGAGGTGTTGGTCATTATATCCTCTGACTTTCCACTACGACCCAAATGATTGGACCACGCTCTGGTGGAAAGGATGACCCCCCATACCCGGGGTAACGGGCAGTCAGGGAGAGGGCTAGCTCCTGCAAAAGTTTAGCTTATGCTGACACCCTAGCCCCCCTAGCTCAGGGACAGGAGTGGCTACCTTCGGGTAGTGTCGGAGAAGAAGAAGAAGAAGAAGAGGAACTCACCACATCATTTACCCTGAGCAGACAGTTCGATTGGTTAAAGTCTGATAAAAAGTTCAACTCAAGTTGATGTTCCTGCGGTTCAAACCCAAATGTTCCGGTAGCGTGGCTTTGGGAAATGACCATTTGCCACCATGGAGGGGACTCCATGGGGTCATTTAGCTATTTGAAAAACAACTATGATGAATTTAAACAGCACTAGGGTTAAAGCCCCTAACACGAATCTTGTGGAGGGTCGGCAGTTTTATGACTTGGTTGGCTTAAAACCCAATCTGGGAGGGCCAGGCGATGATGTACTGTCGTACCCAACACAGCACAACAGGATAAGTACAGAACCGGAAAAGAAGAGCAGTAATAGTGGCAGCGTTGTGTCGTGTAGTAGGAAAACGTTCATCGGGACACTGAACGTTCGTACTGTTAGGGAACAGTACAAGAGGATAGAGTTAGCATCGCTCTTCCTTGAGAGTAGAGTTGCAGTTTTAGGGGTACAAGAGCACCGGATTGTGCATGAGGAGGAGATCAAGATCCAGAGTTTTGAGAAGGGTGTGCACCTGGTGACCACACCTGCTTGGAGAAACACCCGACAAGCTGCTACTGGTGGAGTTGGGTTTATGCTGACCAAGCAGGCCTACAAAGCAGTGAGTCTCATGAAATCGTTTGGGAAGCGAATTTTTCTCATATCCTTTGATGGAAACCCACGGCTTACAGTAATAACGGTGTACAGTCCCACTGAAGCAGCATCAAATGAAGAGGCAGAGGACTTTCACGAGGGACTAAGATCTGCATTAGGAGAGGTACCAGCCCATCATATGCTATTGGTTGTTGGTGATCTTAACGCCCATCTTAGCAGATTGAATGAGGAGGATTCAGGTTGGTACTGGCATCGAGTATCCAACAGAAACGGATCGCTTCTCAGGGATACTTTGTTGGAGGGAAACCTTGAGGCAACTAACCACCGATTCCAGAAACGTCCCGGTAAACTATGGACGTATCTCTCTGACGGAACACTGAGTAAGAGTCAGATTGATTACATCCTGATAAGGAAGAAGTGGCGTAACTCAGTCAAGGACACTGTTGTCTCCAATTCTTTTAACTCTCTTGGGTCGGACCACCGTCTAGTAGTTAGTTCAGTCAAACTCAGCCTGCGAAAGTGCCAGAATGCACCTAGTAGAGTAGTAAGATATGACTACAGACTGCTCAAAGAGAATAAGGAGTTGCAAGCCTTGTATTCTGTGGAGGTGAAAAACAGATTCTCTATGCTACTGGAGGAAGAATCTAGTGAGCAGAACGATCCCACGATTCAGTACGGAAAGCTTATGGATGCCGTGAAAGCAACCAATCATAAGTTGCTTAAGCCCATCCCAAGAAGGCAACGTAACAACCCCTCCCAAGATCCTAGGGTATCGGAGAGGAGGAGAACTCTGTTTCAGGCCAAAGACGCATATCATGAGAATCCTACAGAGGAGAGTAGAGAGGTAGTAAAGGAGTGTAAGGATGCACTTGCAGTGAGCTACAAAGAGGTTGAGGAGGAGACTCTTGTTTCTCGGATCAGGCGGGCTGAGGATGCTGCTGACAGGTGCAAGAATAAGGAAAGTTGGGACCTTATTAATGACATAAATGGCAGGAAAAGCAAGCCATGCAGCCTGGTTGATGGAGGTAGTGCAGAGGGGAGATTGAAGAGCTGGAAGGACCACTTCACTAAGCTCCTGGGTCAACCACCATCTGTACCTGACCAGGAAATAGTTATCCAAACCATCCACCCCCAGCAGGATATAGAGACTGGTCTGTTTTGCAGGGAGGAGTTAGCGGAGGCGAGGAAGCAGATCAAGGAGGGTAAGGCCTATGGTGATGATGGCATAGCTCCAGAGATTCTCAAAAGAGTGGACATGGACGACCTGATTCTAGAGTTCTGTAACAGCGCTCTGGTTGATGGAAAAATCCCTGATCAATGGCGGCAACTCAACATCGTGCCTGTGCCAAAGAAAGGAAATCTAACTAAAGTGGATAACTACAGAGGAATCGCTCTTACGTCCATTGTTAGTAAGACCCTGAATCGTATGATCCTTAACAGAATCAAACCAGCGATGGAGAAAATCCTGAGGATCAACCAAAACGGATTTCGGGAGGGACGCAGTACCACCAGCCACATTCTGTGTCTAAGGAGGATCTTGGAGGGGGCTAGAGACAAAAACCTGACCGCCCTTCTCTTGTTCATCGATTTTAAGAAGGCCTTTGATAGCATTCATAGGGGTATATTGATGAAGATACTCCTGGCATATGGGATACCAGAGCCCATTGTTAGGCTGATAGATGCTATGTACAAGGACACCATGGCACGAGTCATCACGGAGGATGGTCTGACTGAAGCTTTCCTTATACTTGCTGGAGTTATGCAGGGAGATACACTGGCGCCCTACCTCTTCGTGATTGTCATTGACTATGTGATGACAACAGCACTTAGAGGCAAAGATCTGGGCTTCACTGTCAACCCCAGAAGAAGCAGGAGATACCCAGCAGTTAAGATGACAGATGTCGACTTTGCTGACGATCTTGCACTGACAACAGACACCGCAGAGCAAGCGCAAGATCTTCTCCTCAGTGTGGAGCTGGCTGCTAACTCCGTTGGACTTCACCTCAACGAGAGTAAGACGAAGTACATCAGAGTCAATCTCTCTGAGTCTGACTCTACCGTCATTAAAGCAGCAAGTGGGCAGGAGATAGAGCAAGTAGATGACTTTGTCTACCTTGGAAGCAGAATAATGAGTGCGGAAAAGGACTTTGATGTTAGGAAAGCAAAGGCATGGGGGGCCTGTCATCAGTTAAAGACAACCTGGAAGTCTGGAATGCGCAGGGACTTAAAGATCCGTGTCTTTCGAGCAACGGTTGAGCCCGTGCTCCTGTACGGCTCTGAAGCTTGGACGATAAGCCAATCCATGACTAAGCGGATCAATGGATGCTACACTAGAATGCTCCGGATGGCCTTGAACATACGTTGGCCACAAATCATCAACAACAGTGATTTATACGGCAACATCCCCAAGCCATCAGCGATGATAGCCTCCAGAAGAATGAGACTGGCTGGACATGTAGCCAGGCATGACGACCTTCTGGCAAACCAACTTCTGTTCTGGGACCCTCAGCATGGATACAGGAGACCGGGGAGGCCCCACCTTACGTTTCTGGACATGCTAAAGAAGGATACCAGCCTTTCCTGTGTTGAAGAGATAAGATCTGTTATGCTTGACCGCGACGTGTGGCGAGGAATTGTAGTTGCTCGGACCAAGAAGCCGACTTAAGTCAGTAAGTCATTTAACAACAACAGCAACAACTAAGGTAAACTATGATCAATAAGTCGTCAATGTATCTATTTACATAATATGTATTGAATAAATTAGCAGTTATTTGAATAAATTCAATTTACATAAAATATCGATACATGATCTAGATTTAGACTACTTAAAAAAAGAAGTTAGCGACACATCTCGTATGCGAAATGAAACATTATCTGTTATTTCCTATGCAATCAGTAGTACTTGAGCTCAGGTTTAATTGTGTCCCGTGGATATACATGTGTACAATTTAGAATGTCATTAAAATGTTTAAACATGACTTAGTCCAACATCAAATTGTACCAGAAATTAATCAGTACGATTGACTTCAAAAGGTGAGATTGTTGTATTAACAACATGTTAATCATATAATTAATTAATTAATTAATAGCATACCTTTTTTCAATGGTCCAGAAGTGTTGCCCGCAGAACTGGCATCTGTATTCCTTACAGTTTGGTGTGTGTTGCCACAACTCTGATTCTGTAGCAAATACCTAACGGAATATTTGAGTTATTTCAATGTTGAAATGGTGAAATGCAAGATATTTAGTGGTGAAATGGTGGTTGAAATTTCAAAAACAACCCAAAATTCAGATTGAAAACATCTTTGATATTTTAACATTTTAAACAACCGAATAAGTAATATACCTATTAGTCTAACTAGCAGGAACCCGTATAATATAACCCTAAACGGTGTCAAGACTCAAAATACTAAAATAATTATTACCTATTTAATTGGCGTTTTTGACACCACTTGGGGGTCCAAATTTTAGGCTCTAAAATCATTATTCCTTGGCCAATTTTTTATTTTTTCATGCTGATTTGAAAGCCATTAAAGCATTTGACCCAGCCAAAAAAGTTCCAGTTGTATATCTTTTACGGTTTTTGCGGAAAGTCGCGTTAAAGTTGATGCCGTGGTGTCAGTAAAATGGCACAGATATATATATATATATATCGTCTCGCTTTATATATAGTAAGATATACGTACTACCTAGTCTTAAGCCAAAATTTCTGATAATTCTAAAATAACTCAGTCTGAGAAAACCAGCTTATCACTGAACCTACCATAGGACAGGTACTACAGATAATAAGAACCTACCATAGGACAGGTACTACAGATAATAAGAACCTACCATAGGACAGGTACTACAGATAATAAGAACTTACCATAGGACAGGTACTACAGATAATAAGAACCTACCATAGGACAGGTACTACAGATAATAAGAACCTACCATAGGACAGGTACTACAGATAATAAGAACCTACCATAGGACAGGTACTACAGATAATAAGAACCTACCATAGGACAGGTACTACAGAGGATAGTGGGTCTCAAGAACTTCCTGTTTCTGTACTTCTTACTGATAAGGGCTTGGTCTGATTTGAGGTGAACACGTGATATGTGGTGCTTCATTAGCGGTCTGTCGTCAGTTCGGAACATGCACTGTCCGTAGGAGCATCTGGGAGGGGGTTAGATTAATTAATAAGTTAATTTAATATTAAAGTAATAGCTTAAATAAGTTTTTAAATAGATAAATAAATAAAGTACTACCTGAAGCAAATAAGTAAATAAATAAAGTCAAAGTTTATATAAAACTCTATATATCCGACGAGGTTTTTTTTTAAAAATGTACAAGAAGCTTTCTTGGGTGCAACGTATAATAATACACATTACAATGTTGTACATATTATAGTCGACTATAATTGGGGTATATCCAGTACAGTAGTGTAGAATTACACGCTCCTAAAATAATTAAATTCCATTCACTCACTTGTAAATGGGGTTGAATCTGTAATCTGAATCATGGTGTATCAAATGATCAGACAGCTGAGCCGGACTATCAAAGTGGTACCCACAAATATTACATTTCACTATCTCTATCCCGCAGCTGACGCGCCGTTTCTTCGCGGGGTACCGCTCGTCGTCGTAGTCCTGGGAGGGATCCTCGCGCGGTCCTACTCCTGTGGTGTATCCTGTTATATTCCTAACCCTTCATCATATCTTTAGAAAATGAGCGCTTAATTAACAATTCTTCTCAAAAAATGAGCTACTCATTATCCTGTTATATTTCATATCTTTAGAAAATGAGCGCTTAATTAACAATTCTTCTCAAAAAATGAGCTACTCATTATCCTGTTATATTTCATATCTTTAGAAGATAAGCGCTTAATTAATGATTCTGCTCAAAAGATGTTGAGTTATTCGTTATTAGATCTTTTAAAAAACTAACTATCCAATTAATGGATTATCTAATTACCTGTGTGCCAGATAGTGTCTGGTTTAAGATGATTGGAAGGATTTATAGGTTCTATTTTTCCTTCCTCCTTGCCTTGTGACATGCCCTACCTACTGTGAAAATTAACTAATTAATTAATTAACTAAATAAATTAACGTGAATTTGGGCAGTCTTATAACTGGGTCTACTTAAGTTGCTGAAGTTGGTGTCATTGCTGAATTCTGCAAAATGCTTAAAAAAATGTATATTTAAAACAATCACAGGTAAAGATCCAAGAGTTTTTCAAATTATTATGATACAAATTTCTCAGATTACTTATTAGCTTATTGAATATCAAAATTCGGCTCGGATCAGTACTGACTACTGCAACTGACCTATCAAAGTTTTGATAGATAAAAAGTTTTCTATAGAAAAAGTTTTGATAGATAAAAAGTTTTGATAGAAAAACGTTTGTGATAGAAACGTTTTTGATAGAAAAAAAGTTTAATGATAGAAAAAAATCGATAGAAAAAGTAAAACACTTCAGGTTACAAACAGTAGTAAAACTTTTTAAAATTAAAAACAATCACAACAAACCATGGGACCCATCAGAAACCTTCCCTCGCAGAATATAACTAAATATCATAATAATTATGAGTGCGCACTTTATAACTTTAAGAGCTGACGCAATGTGGAATGGGCCATAATAAGCTTCATTCTTAGGTGTATTGTACATGTGGGATTTCAGCAATGGTAGCTGAAGGAGGGACAACTTCACATTTATTGATATTGGCCCACCCTTAATACTTGCAGTTTTCGAATGAAAATGCCGGGAAAAAAGAAAGAGTTTTGACTATACTTATCTATCTTTAGGTAAACGAAAAATTCTTTTTGAATTGTAAAATATTTTAAAAAGTAGTCGTTTTTACAACGTTGTCAAACGAGGGGCAAAGAAGTAATTTTGTAAAACCAAAACTTAAGCATTAAGCAAACAAGACATTTTAAAAAATAATTGCACAAACCCTACGTAATATTGTGAACCGTGTATGCACCTTATTTAACCATTAAAATAATGACTCTTAACCTGCAATCGTAAACTGAGAGTCGTTCAAAAACGCCTGTAGATTATAAAGGAGCTCTGATAAACTTACATATTAATAAATTAATAACACAACTATTTGCAACTAAGAGTAAGATAAAGAAACTGCAGCATTTTATAACCCGTACTTCAGAAAATCTTACCAATCAGACCTTATAATATATTATATAGAGAGTAATGATAGTTAATTAATTGATTAATTACGGGACATTATAATTACTTAATTGATCATAATTACTGGATAGTACTGAATATCGTATTTAAAGATGTCCGATCTCAAATTGTATAAACTTCTTGAAGAGATGCACTTGCAATTAGCACTTAACTGCTTCACTGCATCCATCATCCATGCGGCAAAATGCGACTTCCGCAATTAATATCAAATTGAATTTGATAACGAGCAGCCGTTCAAACTTCAAGTGTGCCATATTATAATCTCACGGACTTAAAACTATGCTTCTAAGTCAATAGGGATTTCTTATCGAGAATTTAAGTGTTTCCTTAATCATATCATACCAGCCATACCTACCCAACCCACAATAATACCAGACATACCAGACATACCGGCCCGCTTCCACAAAATATGTTCAATCCTTAACCAATCCAGCACGAGTAATACCACGTGATTGACAACCTATTATACCTGGACAATGGACATATGGCACATGTGATATGAGAAATGGAGAGATTCTACTCTGAGGCCACTGCTTGTAGTCCACATGTCCCGTCTGGACAAACAACATCAACAACTGCATCGATAACTGCAGGGGCTGTTTCGACAACTGCGTCGACAACTGCAGGAGCTGTTTCGACAACTGCATCGACAACTGCAGGGGCAGCATCAACAACTGCATCGATAACTGGTTCGGCTGCATCAACAATTGCATGGACTGCATCGACAACGGCAGGAGCTGCTTCGACAACTGCATCAACAACTGCAGGGGCTGCTTCAACAACTGCATCGACAACTGCAGGGGCAGCATCGACAACTGCATCGATAACTGGTTCGGCTGCATCGACAACTGCATCTGAAAAGTTGGTTTGTGTTATCTGATTTACATTGCTTCATTTCTTAAATAGCCATCTCCCTGAAGCTGAGATGCTCATGATTTAGTTTTAAGGAAACGCAAATTATAAGGACAAAATCTTAATACAAAACCAATCAAAAGGCTTTGAATAAACTGAGCAAATGAAATAATGATCTACAGGTTCCTGCTTGCATGCACATCTACAACAATCTTTAGATTTGACTGAAAACTGTCGCTCAGAATTAATAGAATAAGAATCAAATTTGCACAGCAATAAACACAAAGACATCATCCAATATTTTCGAAAAGAAGAACAAGAAAACTATAGTCAATCACAACAAAGCAATTTCAGGATTTATCACTCAGGATATCACTCAGAACAAGTGACAATAGGTTGCTTTATTCACTTAGAGTTGTCAGAGTAGAATTCATCTCCACAGCTACAGCAGGAACGTCAGCGATGACCAAGGTGTCAGTAGCCTTCACATGTGCATCAGCGATCGCCCAAGCTACTGCAGTCATCGGGGAAGCTTCAACAGGGATCACAGATGCTGCATCAACTGTTGGAACTTCAGCGATGGCAGGCGCTTTGATAGTGAGTAAATGTGCATCAGCAATCTTCCATGCTTCTGCAGTGTTCGATGGCGCTTCAGTGATGGCAGGCGCATCAAGAGGGAGCAAAAGCTCTTCAGAAATCTTTAAAGCTTCTGCAGTGTTCGGTGGCGCTTCTGAAACTGTTCTAACTCAATACATTGCTTCAGTTTTCAAAGTTAAATTCTTGATACACCGAGGAAATTTCAATAAAAAATATTCCAACAAAAAATTTAGCAATTATCGATGCAATGGATGCAATTCTAAATTTTCGCAAAGTTAATAAATTGTTATTTTAAATTGGTACAAAAAACCCATGCATATGAGTGTGGTAATTTATAAATTCAATCATCTTTATCTAAAAGCAAAAACATGCAAGATGTACATCAAAAGAGGTATCTTTAAAGTGGAAAATAAGAATGCTGAAAAAGTGCATCAAGAGCAAATTACACAACAATGGCAATGCAATCACGACATGGTACATGTTAACAAGTTATTACAATAATGATCGATATCACGGATGTAAACAGACACAATACAGTTTACAACATGCAGTTAACAGCAAGAACTTCTGTGTAGAAATACGTAAAGTTAAACTATTCAAGGTAATACTTCTCATTAAAAATACTACAACTAACATACAATCCGAATGTTATAATATAATGTATGATCTGTACAATCCAAAGCGTGAGCGGACTAGCAGACATTATATATTGCATTATTATACGTTCAATTAGTACATTTTATACGTCAAAACAAGTATATGTACAAAGAACCAAGTTTTTGCTTTTGAAATGATACAATTTAAGTGCGAATCTGCAATCCCCATTTTTGTCCGTAAGTGTTGGACATTTAAAACTTACCAATTCACATTTTAAACAAAAAAACCCTGACATACCCTAGGCCCTGGATCAACGAATAGGGCACTGATGCTGAGCGCACGTGCAGGGCTAGCCGCACACGTGCTGTGCGCGGCTCTGTTCATGGTGAGTTTTCAGAGCTGGACACAGCACGTGCAAGTAAATACCAGCACGTGCAGAGCCGCGCACAGCACGTGCAGCACATGCCGGGCGCAGCACAGCATCTTTGTGCACGTGCATACCTTGACAAGGTTACAAGTTGAATGTTCGTTGTTCACAAACTGATTTTGGAGGAGAATCTGAAAATTCAATCACTGAATAATCAGTTTTTAAACGATAATACGAAGTTCATTTTAGTGCCAAAATGATCGACATAAAAAATAATAGTGCAGTGGCCAGCAATAGCAGCAAATCTGGGGAAACTTGGTGGACATTGACTTTTTTCACACAATTTGAGTATGTTGATTTCAACATTATGTTGCAGCTCATTGTGGTTAATCTCAATGTTGGAGTGATGTTTTTCTGGTGCACAAAACACTGCAGTACGGTTATGTTGAATAATTGTGGTTAATGGGTCATCTATGTGGCCACTATGGTGGTTAAAATACCAGTTTTAGGGTTAACCACCATTTTGAGATATACTATTATGAACTGAGTAGTCATTATATTGAGATCATATCATGGTGCAACTATCACAAAAGTTTTCAAACCTCATGGGGGGCATTTTGTGGTCCTAATGGTGGTTAAATTGAAGATGAACGGTGAGCTATAAATATTGCTCTGATTATAGATGTATAGTGGTGGTATAGTGGTGGTTGTTCATTTGTGCATGGATGATAATTTTTTATCACAAATGTGCAATTTAATAGTATGGTTGATTTGAGGTGGTTAATATTCGTAAAAAGTGCTAAAAAGATGGTTAAAATGTCAAAATTTGTTGTTAACCACCAATCAAAACATTATTAATGATTTTAGTCAACATTTCATGGTCAACAAAGGACATTTGAAGGGTCTTGATAAAAGTTATCAAGAAATGTTGTCATAAAAGTGGTTAAAAGGGCTATATTACTTGCTAGGCTGTTGAACAAGGCATCTATTAAAGTGAAAATTAACCACAATATGAACTTCAGATAATGGTTTGCTATCCAAATGAGTGTATATTTGTTTGCAAATGCATAATTGACCCCAATTTCATGCATTCCGATCAATGTGCAGCTAAGGTGGTTAAAATGTCTCGAAAATACCCTATATTTGCACTAATTAACCATTTTTAGAGCACATATTAGCTTTGTAAAGCTATAGCTGGCCATGCTACATTATCTAGATATAACTACCTGCTCATTTATATGACCAGAAACATTGCTGAGTCCTATGTTGCGTCCATCATGGTTAATAAAGGTCTAAAATTGACCAAAATCAGTGTTTTTGGTCGTTTTAACCGCCATACGGCCACACATTTTGTTGCATTATCTTTAAAATCACTTATTATCCTTCAGCTATCTCTCATAATCAAATATCAAAACAAAATAAGGCACCAAAAGGTCAGATTGTGCTGAATAATGGTTAATTTGTGATGGCTTCTGTTGACCGAAGGTCCCAAATCAACATGTTTTAACCACATTATGGCCACATCTAAGGTTTTTTGGTATTGGGACCATAGCCAAAAGTTTTGGGCACCTGGATGGTGTACTCTGCTTTTGGAATTATGGTGATATCTCAATGCTGTGCCATTCCAGGTGGTTAAGTACGCGCGCGCGCGCGCACGCATACACTTTTGGGTTTTTTTAATATACCACAGTTGGTGGTTAACCGTTTTACATTACACCTTCACTAAAAGTATTGGGCACTCTAGTAGTGACATAATATATAAAGAAATTAAGCATAAACTAAATATGTTGGCCTACAGATGGTTAAGTACGCGCGCGCGCGCGCACGCATACACTGTAACATAAACACATATAAACCACTCCACAGACCACATTTATTAACCTTTTTAATTTCTTTCTTCAACTATGTGTCAATGAACCGTTTCTGTTCAATAATGACCATCAATTTTAACTGTAACACTCATATCTTCAGTGTAGTAAGAGTTTGAGTGTTAGAAGTACAAAAAAATGTCCACTAACAAATCAGTCATATTTCGACTACTTAACCACCTAACTCAGCAACAAAATGTTCTGGGATTTATTTCGTTGCACTATCATGAAGCTATGACATTTTTGGACCTATGTAAATATTCAGATTACTAGAATTCATAATTTGTGATTTTTAAGGGGTGGTCAAATGCTTCAAAGTGGTGTATTTCAAAGTTTCCCCAGATTTGCTGCTATTGCTGTGGCGTTTATGTGAAGCTCTCACGAAGATTTGCGTTATGATTTAAGGGCACTGGTGTAGGGAACAAAGGTTCATGCAATATGCTCGGAGACTGTCTGCCTGAAGAAAGAGTGAATTTTGCCAGATAATTAAAGGTAAGCTAGATATTATGTTGTGATATCACATGTTTAAACATACGATCGTAATTTTAAATGGGAATTTTATGTAATAAAATTACATGTTATATAAAAAAAATTACATAAATTATGAACATAGATAGCTTAGCTAAGATGATAAAAAGTAGCAGAGTTTTATACATTTAAAAAGTATCACTTAACCAAAATCACAACATTGAATATAAATCAATTAACTTGTGAACTTTACGATCAGTTTCAAGTGCCGGATCTTTTGAGTTAAAACACTAGTTTTAAGTTAAACGTCACATCTGAACGGACACGTGATGCATCACGTGATATATCACGTGATGAAAACTAACATGTGATGTAAACTAACACGTGATACAAACTAACACGTGATGTAGTGATGTAAACTAACACGTGATGTAAACTAACCGACGAAGGCAGCAGCAGGTGTAGGAGGAGTGTGCCATGACTGGTCGGCTGCTTTACGTGCGAACATCAGGTTACTACCTCTTTTAATGTTACCAGAGTTCCACAGAGCTGTGCAGAAGGTTTATTTTTAAATATTATTTTATTTAAAATATTATTTTATTTGAAAAATAACAATAAAACATAATTTGAGCGTTCATTATTTGTATATTATTGTATATTTAGTAGAAGCTTGTTCTTTTAAGTTGATACATTTTTTGTCAAAAAAATTGAATAGGGTACAGTGTGATAAATAAAATTATTTCTTTTTGTTTGAGATATGAAGTTGACGTACCCTTGATACAAGCGAACCATCCCTCCTGAGTACCCTGTACAGCAGGGAGATCAGATACAGCTAACCCGCAGTTGTTAACCGTCATTATCGTTGTAGTCAACTGAAATAACAGCATTTAAATAACTGAACGTATTGCTGCTAACACTGACTTTATTTCAAAAAACGTAATGTGAAATTAGGTGCTAATCAACAGAAATCACAGCTTTCTATTGGTTGTTTCAACGCAAGGTCTCTTTGCAACAAAACTTGTGGCATACTAGAAATGCTTAAGGATAACTCGATCTCTATCTGTTGTATCACGGAAACTTGGCTTAAATCTAATGATCGGGCAAAGTTTGCCGAAATTCGTGATTTTGGGTTTGATATTATCAGTGCCCCTCGAAGAGGTAGGGGAGGTGGTGTTGGTTTTCTCTTCAACCCCAAAGTGATTTCGCCTGTACGCAATGATGTTACTAAATATTCATCTTTTGAAGTACTTGAATGTGTCATTAAAACTGCTGGTGAGGTTATCAGGCTATGTGTAGTTTATCGCAGCACTCAGGCCAAAACAAAATATGATGAAACAAAAATATCTAAGTTTATGGATGACTTTGATGGATACCTGGACAATCTTCTGCTTAAAACTGGCTCTCCAATTATTTGTGGTGACTTTAATTTCCATGTTGAAGACATAAACAATAATGTTGCCCAGAACTTTATTGCTCTTTGTGAGAGCAAAGGCTTCCTTCAGCATGTCGACTCTCTTACTCACATCTCTGGTGGGACATTGGACTTGTTATTTACTCTAGGCTGTGTAAGTGACTCATTGTCTGTAACAGATATAATGATGGTAGAGACAAGCACTGGAACCAGCTCTGATCACTATCTAGTAAGTTTTCAGATCCCAGTCGCATTCGATTTTCATAAAGCTCGTACATATGAAGAAAAAGATGTCAGAGAGCTAAGCCAAATTGACATTATAGATAAGTTCAGGGAAGATCTGTTTTGTTCAGAGCTTAACCTTTCTGAATATCAATCCTTAGACGAGGCTGTGAACCTTTATAAAAATGTCCTTGAACAGGTGCTGGACAAACATGCCCCACTTATTACGAAACGATTTACTGCTGAAAAGTCTGATTTTTGGGATGAAAAATGTCAAATTGCTGTCAGAGAGAGGAGAAAAGCAAAACGAAAAGCCAAAAAGTATCCAGAGAATGATGAGTTTAAAACTACTCACTTTGAAAAGTGTGTTGACGCAGAAATCACCATCAATCGAGCTAGAGATAGCTACTATGATAAACAGCTCAGTTCTTGCAAAGGAGACTCGAAAGGGACCTACAAAGTCATAAATAAACTTTTAGATAAAGAATATGGCTCCAACAAACTGCCAAATGGTGAAGATATCGAAGTGGCTGAAAAACTCAAGACTTTCTTTGACAAAAAAGTAAAAACCATTTACTCTAATATTGAGAAGGAAATTCAAAACACTTCCCTTAACGGTCAAGGTACCAAAAACTCTACTTTGATAGAGAATACAAAGTGTAGACTTGATCAGTTTAAGGAAGTCTCATTATCAGAACTTGAAACCTTAATTAAGAGTCTTCCCAATAAATCAAGTGTACTCGATGCCAATGTGGCGCTGGCTCTTCAAGAACTGCTTACCCGAGCTTCTCCCAATCATCTATTACATCGTGAATGAATCACTAAGAGTCGGAAAGTTTCCATCTGCCCTAAAAGAAGCATCTATTAGGCCTGGACTCAAGAAACCTACCTTAGATGTTGATGAGCTGAAAAACTATCGACCGATTAGCAATCTAACCTATCTGTCCAAAATACTAGAAAAAGTAGTTCATTGCAAATTAAATGAATATGCTGATGTCAACAACCTATTTTCCCCATATATCAATCAGGCTATAGAAAATTCCATAGTTGTGAAACTGCAGTTACAAAGATACATAATGATATTCTAATGATGATTGATAGCAAATCGAATGTTGTGCTTCTACTCTTAGATCTATCAGCCGCTTTCGACACCATAAACCATAATCTCCTTCTTACGAAACTCAAGAATGCGTATGGTATTACAGAACTAGCACTCAGCTGGTTACAGTGTTACCTTAATAATCGCACATTCAAGGTTAAAGTTAAAAAAGCCACATCTTCTGAATGCTATCTGGATATTGGTGTACCTCAAGGATCCATTTTAGGACCACTACTGTTCATATTGTATACCAGAGATCTTGAGGAAATTGTCACAAAATATGGTTTCTCGATACATTTGTATGCAGATGACACACAGGTGTACTTTGCTTTCGATGTTCACAGTTCTAATCCTGATTTAACAGCTGTGAAAAATTGCTTTCTGGAGATAAAGCAATGGATGACAGTTAACTTCCTAAAACTGAATGATGAAAAAACAGAGTTCATTGATATAGGACCATATGTCAGCCCAATCCATACAATGGATTTAGGAGACCTCTCAATCTGTCCTGTTAGCAAGGCCAAGAACCTGGGATTCCTTTTCGATCACCAAATGAATCTGGACTCTCAAATAAATGCTGTGTCCAAAGTATGTTATTTGAATCAAAGGGACTTATCAAGAATCGGTTCAAAGCTTTCCCATGAACTAAAAGTTCAGTTAGTTCACTCCAATATTCTCTGTTTCATAGACTACTGCAACTCAGTCTATTATGGTATAACAGAAAAGAATCTCCATAAGCTACAAAAGATACAGAACAATGCTGCTAGATTTATTTTTGGTCTTTACGGAAAAAATATACGTGAACCTATCATGCATTACCTCAAAAAGCTCCACTTTTTACCTGTTCGGTTCAGAATCAAGTTCAAAATATCACTTCTGGTCTTCAAGTGTCTTAATAACATAGCCCCTCAGTACTTACAAGGACACATCAATCTAAGGGAAGTACGAAGACAAAGTTCCAGACTAGATGATGACTTTTATTTGTTGAAAGTTCCTCCTGCTCCTCATTTCAGACGAACGGATGCTGCATTTATGTTTTGTGGACCAAAAATTTGGAATGAACTACCCTACTCAGTGAGATCATTATCATCTGTAGAATGTTTTAAAAATGCTCTAAAGACGTTTTATTTCCACCTAGCTTTTGATAATATTTCTAATATTTGTCCATAAAGTCTGAACTGATATGAAAGTGCATAATTTTGGGAACTTCATGCAAATATTTGTTCATAAAATCTGAACTGATAAAAGTCCATAATCTTGGTATTTCAACACTAAGTCTCGCTTGAATGACTTAAATGTACATCTTTGTTGGGTATATTTTAATGTCGAAGCGTGTAATAAATGTTAGAATTTATTATTTATTATTTATGAATGTAATATTTACATGGGTATTGGGTAGTTACATATTATTTTGAAGAGTTCGAATTTTAAATTTTAATTGTTAAATTGAAGCGCAAACTAAACATTAAATTTGAATATTCAGCCAGCTATTAAGTATCAATGTTTGAAACACCAAAATATCAAACATTTGTAAAAACAGCTACCTAGTTCTATAGAAACTTTACTACAACTGACCTGTAGTGGGTATGATAGGAAGCTACCTAGTTCTATAGAAGTTACACTACAACTGACCTGTAGTGGGTATGATAGGAAGCTACCTAGTTCTATAGAAGTTACACTACAACTGACCTGTAGTGGGTATGATAGGAAGCCGTGAATAGCAGAAACAGGAAGAGTAGTTTTACCTTCTGCCGGGGCTGGAAGTCCTAACTTCTTGTTTATCTGAACAGGTTATTTATTATTATCTGAATAAAATCCTGCAAAATAAGGTTTAGGGTCTAGGCGTTTTGTCAGGAAAATAAACAAATTATGGAATGAAGAACATTCCAAGGTTTCTATTAACTTAAAATGTCAAGAATTACCAACTGCAACCTGTCAACTATTACTAACCTCCATTTTCTCGACTATCTCTTGAATGAGAACCTCAATAGCTTTACCAGATACCTCTCCCAATAAATGTGGGATTATACCCGCGTAGAACCCTAACAGACCTTCCTCACTGAGATAATAATTATAATATTAATAACTAAAGATATAACGTGAATTATCAATTAATATTGATTATTGAAAAACTTTTCACGATAATATTCAAGCGTGCCGTGATGTCCCCTCTGATAGCAGAGAAACTTACAATCTTAATCCCTGCAAAGCAAAGTAATTTGCTCAAATATTAAAATACCTCAACTCAACAACCAAGTTGAGATAAAACCGTTTAATAACTAAATAATTAATTAATTAAATAACAAATTTACTGCATTCCTCAACTCACGTGAAGATAGTAGCAATAGCACCAGTGACAGTACTGTACTTATCCTCTCCCCCAATAAGTGAAACTATCATCCGGTTTGTAACAACTAACAGAGGATGCGATGTTATCACTGCTAGAGCTGTTGCTGCGCACTGCCTCCCTACCTAGTCAGGGTTTACTGTTAAAACCTATTTTGGTAGATCCATTGACAGTATAGTATCCTGCTGTCCTACATTGTCAAAGTTTTTTATAGGTTTTACTGTTACTACATCTGACCGATAAATATTTATTGATAAAGTGCTGTATCAAATTTTACTTTATTTCTTATTGTATTTATTTATCTGACCAAAGCTGTCCACGCTTCAGCTGCAGAGGGTAATTATAATGACGTGCTTCTTTCATTTCTTAAATGATAGATATAAAATGAATCATAATTAATCTCAATCTTAGTACAGAGTACCTTAGTTCCCAAAAATTTGTGTGCCATTATATTGAGCACAATTTATTTGAGCCCGAAAAATTTGGGCAGAAAATTTGAACTCATTTGGGCGACCGAAAATTTGGGCACAAATTCTTCGAAAAATGAACGATTTCCACTAAAATTTCAGTTAGATATTTGCCTTAGTTCATTATTATTCCAGTCATTTTGCTTTCAATTTTAAGCATGTAGGTGGTAGTCTGAGTTGTTTCACATTATGAAATTTACGATCTGCCCAGTAACTACTAAAAAATACTGTGATGATGGGCACAGTACAAAATGATAGATATACAATAGTGATATTTAGTCTCTCAATCAAATAGTTTAGTCTATTTACACTCAGCATATCTTATCATACCCCTTTCACATACAATTATCATTATGACGCCTCACCAGATGGTCGAAAGGTTTGAAAGAAAATTAGAAGGTTTACATCATGATCTATCAAACTAAGCGGCACATACGCTTAGCTTTGGGGGAAACAAAGGTGTACATAATTGTGTGTAGCGAACTACTGTAAAGTGTAAACCCGGACCAAAGGTCAAGTCTAATTTTAATTAACCAGCTAATATGACCCATCATCTACAGCCCCTGGACATATCTATCAATGGACTGGCTAAGAAATTCATGCGCAATAAGTAAGAAGATTGGTACGCGAAAAACATAGTGTGTCAGCTCAATGGAGGAGTTTCATCAGACAGTGTGAAAATTGATACCCGCTTGACAGTGATCCGTGAAGTACACGCTCGTTGGATCAACGAACTTTTTGTATATTTAAAAGGGAGGCCAGATGACATAAGGAAAGGCTTTGAGAAGTCGGGTATAACTGATGCTTGTAGATCAGACTTTACGGTGGATGATAATCCATTTGCAGATCTTGTTTAAATCTCTAGCTATCCGTACCTCGCTCTAGCCATTTGTTTTATTAGTAGCTGTTACCTGTTCCAGTTATTTCTATTCATTTAAAATATAAGCCTTTTTACTTGGTGAAGCCATGAATGACAGATTAGAAAACTAAAATTTCAAATATTATTTCACTTGGATATGAAGAAAAAGCCATCTTTCTATAGATTTCAGGGCCACAGGCCAAATGCCAAAAGTTTGGTTAGCAAAAAATTTAGCAGACGGAAAAGATGTATGCAATTAATTTGGTCTGCAAAAAATTTGGGCGAGAGGCCCGCTCAAATTTTTTGTCGCCCAAATTTTTGGAAATTAAGGTACTATAAGAACTGATCAATTAAACAATTAACTAATGAACTTTAAATGAGTTAATGAGTTTACCTCAGAAGCAATCTGTTCAGGAGGACACTTGCTAGTAGAAACTGGAAGTGCCGCTAACACCTCACTCCTGACAGAGTTTGTAATGAAGACCCCTCCTAGTCGGGGTGTCAGACCTCGGTAGAGGACTAGGCGGGATCCTTCTTTGTCTGCCTGGAGATTAGCTAATTAGTTAAAGAGTTAGTTTTTAATTAGTTAATTAGAGGGGATTACACTATTTACTAGTGGCAGAAAGATATAACGTTATCTCATATATTAAATTTCTTCCCATTCAAATGTCTCCCTTTAAAAATTGTTTGCAAAAAAAGGTCGGGTTTTCTAAAATTGTCCTCATTGGTACCAAATTTCCTCGCAGTTGCCGTGTTTCTGGATGTAGAAAGGTTATTTAATATGATTAATTTATCATTGCAAACGTGGAAATTTTTTATAGATAATAAACTCACCAAATATTTCATGTATTTGAAGATGTTAGGATAGTAATAACCCCCAGAGAAGAAGAACATGCTCGGTTGCCTGAACGTCGGAGGAAGTGGCTCGTAACCAACCTGGAAATATTTTACTTTGTTATTAATCAATTAAGTAATTAATTAATTAATTAAGTTATAGTGATAAGAACACGAATAATCAGTTTGATGAAAATTCGTTAACTGTGATCGACGGGTATTATATACAAAGAACACTAACCACTGCTTGATTACCGGTTAATTATCGGTTAATTACAGATTAATTAGTAATTACTGCTAATTACAGGTTAATTACTGCTAATTACCGGTTAATTACTGTTAATTACTGCTAATAACCGGTTAAGAATGTATAACCGACTTTATGATGCTTCTACTAAACACTACCTTACTTAAACATAGTAAACTGATACATTACAAATTCAAACTACCTTTAATTGCAAGCTTCGTTTAACGCTGATTTAAAAGTTTGATTACCTCTATCTCGAAAACTCCTTATTTACTTATTTGAGCAAGTACATTTATATACCCTTATTCAATAAGTGTAATATTCCATTATCTCCTAATATCACAGGGACATGATATTACAAGTGCACATACAGTACAAATTGATAGCATATTTCAAATGCTTCACATAACAAGCAACTAGCTGTGACCTGTTAACAATACAATACATATAGCTAACTATACATAACTATACATATAACTTAATATAGCTGAATAACGGTGACAAATGTTCTTATAGCCGGAGTACTCCGGCTCATAATGTAGCCAGATCGGGAAACAAAAAGTTAATGACTTCCCCGATTCCTCCCAGAAAGTTAAATGAGGTTTTAAATACTTCTAAAGTTCTAAATGACTATCAGCACCAAGGTATTTTAGTATGTCACCGCAATCATACTAATCATATACCTCACATGATATTGCTAGTGTTTTGCAGGATTCTTCATATTTGGGGAACCTAACTTATGACATTCGGTAAGCTTTTTAACGACGAAACGAAACGAAACACAGTATTTACTACCCCGCTACTATGCGACAAAGATATTGTATAAAATATAAAGAAATAATTTACACACTACGGTGCCCATGTCTGAGCGGCTCTCCTCAAAAAACTTTCTTTCCTCATCGGAACAGAAAGTTTTAATTAAATTATGAAAATTTTGCTTTATTAGTAAAAAAACTTTTCTTGTACAACAAAATATTTTCTGTTTTATTACTTAGCTACCTGAAGCAGAATGGAGATAGTATGGAAAGGCTTGCAAATCAAAACTTGTGCTAAACTGCCGGCCATTCTGACGGTAGGGTTCTTGCCAGCTTCCGAGCGTAACATTCGCACTATGTCACCGTCTACATTAACCATGGCTATAAACGGGCTGCTTTAGATGCGGACCATTTGGGTGTTAGGTGCAAATTATGCGGCAAATTATGGGGGGAGGTTTTGATTTTTATTGTAAAGTTTTAAATTATACAAAACAATAGAGGAAATGTTGTGTGTGGAAATTGAAGCTGAGTCGGTTGGTTAGTCACGAATTATTGTGGTAAACTAAAGTGAGGCTTTGTGGATATCTGTACTCTTGTGACCTTCAAATCCACAGACAATACTAATAGGGATTTATTGAATAGGTATTTTGCATAATTATTTTAATTCATTCTGTGAATTACCATAAAAGAGCAATATATCATTAAATATCATTTGAAAGCGTAATTGTATCACATAAAAAGCGTTGTTTCTTAAAAACAAAGAATTAGATCAAATAGTGTTCTGAAAGTGAAAAGTATAGAGCATACTCAGGAGAGTGACCTCTTCACTAGAAGCGCACTTAACTTGCACTAAATGTGCAGTAAATGTGCACTTAACTTGCACTAAATGTGCATTAAATGTGCATTAAATGTGCACTAAACGTGCACTTAACTTGCACTAAATGTGCACTAAATGTGCACTCTACATTAACTCTATACTAACTTGAATAAGTATTTTGACGACATTGACCGGCTGTAGAAGTGCAGTGTACACACAGTTCACAGTAAGGTCACCCACCGAGGGTAAACCCCCAAAAATCCTGTCCATTGTCCTTTGCTAACACGGGGGAGGTGGTTAGTTTTCATAGTGTGCAGATATTTGCTGGATTAAACAAGAGTATGGACTTTCGACGAGAGACGAAGAAATGTGTTTTATGTTGAAAATATTTTTTTCTGAAGAGATGGAAAATGGAAATGGGGTCCTTACCGTACGAAAAATAATCATTATATAATTATTATAATTTTCTACGGTTATTATACCTAGATAATTGCAATTTATGACAGTTTAACACTGATCATACATACTGATCGAAATGACATAATGAAACAAAGTATTCAGATGGTTTTTCAGTACAAAACTATGACCACTGCATGATAGAAACAAAACATAAACAGTAAACATTGATATAACTAGAGCTATCACTGAACTGATTTCATGATCAGGAAATTTAAATTTATAACATTGCTACTGAGGTTCTGCATTTTCGATAAGGAACGTTTTAGCCACTAGATGATATTATAAACTTATTAAACTGTATACGTAACCTATTTTTAATGATAACGAACGATGTGGAATATCCATTTCAATTGTTTGGTATGTCTTTGAACTAGCAAAGACTTGGTGAGATAATGTTGACCATGTTGGCACAAAATCAATACATTTCAAACAAAGAACGTTCTCAATCAAAGAAATAAATAAATTACTGTTTCAAAAACTGATCAAGAAAAGGAAAATTGAAAGCAGGCAGTATCAATCCAACGTTAGGAATATTACAATTAAAACTGGCAACGTTTAATAGTATTTACTTTAAATATTATATACAAGATGGTCTTTAGTGTTACAACAATTATACCACAATAAGCCTAACGACTCCTAAATTGAAATGCATCTATTCGAATGAAGAATTTTGAGATTATTCGTCGTCTTCATCCTCTTCATCCTCTTCTTCATCATCTTCATCATCTTCATCTTCAGGTTCCGCTGCTTCATCTACTAGAGCATTACGCTCAGCTCTTATCTTGTCTAAAATAGAGAGTTCAGTAAATACTAGCTTGAGATGAAAAATATAATTCTTAAAGCAGATGTACCTATGAAAGTTAATCTACTTTGTAATTTCATTTTAATAACAAAATCATTCATTGAATCAATGAGACAGTTTTAAAAAACTGTAGTATCTAAAATATAATTTGCAGTTAAAATGAACTCACCCCAATCGATTTCACCAAACTTGGGCTTAAATAGATCAGACGCGTATGCCTGAAAAGGATGGCAATTTAAGAATGCTGAAGAAACCGGTCCACTTTTTAAATTAAATTTTGTAGAACTCAAGGAATTTCGGGGAACACTGAGTAGCTTCAACAGCAGATTTAAAATAGGTTACCATAGCAAGCATTAAAGAGCAGACACCAAATCCAGATGCAAAGAACAGTTTCTGTTGAACATATGGCCAGGGATTCTCACCATCAGGATTTCGAGGAGGTCCATTGTGAAACCTGTGAAATAATAGAGAAAATGATTTATGAGGGAGTAATTAATAAAATATCCCCAGAAAATGGTACAGTACAAACAACTTGATAGTAATCAATAGGGTGTAATTTGAAGGTTTTACCTTCTCATGCAAGATCTTTGAGCACCTCTAACGCTGGACATTAATCGTGATGCAAGCACCCTTGAAGCCATGACTGTCAAATAACAATTGGGGTAAAATTTTACAACTTATGACAATGTCATCTGAAACATAAACATAATCAGCAAAAACTTGGAGCAAATAAACAAAAATCACTAGTAAACAGTACTGTACACCATGTGAAAAATTGAATTCATCGGTTTTGAGAAGTAATTATGCTAGTTGGTAATGATCAATTGTGTTTGGACACACAGTTGCTGAATACCTTAGGCTGGTGACCAAGGATGTGAGGATTGAGCCCCTTTTAACACCTATAGAATCGGCCAACTTCCAACAAAAGGGCAACAATGCTGATAAGGCTAGGCTTGATATATCAGCAAGAGGAGTGTGGAGCACATTTGAGAGGACTTTCTTTGATGTGCGCATTTTCAATCCTAAATCGCCTATATATCAAGGTAAGACCATGCCACAGCTCTACACTCTGCACGAGAATGAGAAAAAGAACCAGTACATGAACCGAGCAAAGATGTACAATAAGCATGAGAGAGAGAAAGAAAGGAAATATGGAGACCGCTGTGTACAGATCGAAAAAGGAACCTGCAATGGCCTTGTATTCTCGACCACCGGAGGTATGGGCCCACAGGCTACCAGGATACAAAGGATACAAGGATACAAGGATACAAAAGTGATAATTATTTTATTGAGTTCACAATAGTTATAATTCTGAAATAATTTAAGTTACACACTTCTAATCATTTACAAATGTGTAGGGATAAAATAGAAATGTTATAATATAATGCTATTTTCTTTAAGTAAATCAAATTTGTATGGTTCATGAGTTTATTTTGAGTTCCTAGAGCATTATGCACTTGCCAGTATTTGAGTGGAAATCTGGGCTCTTATAATAGGCTGTATATTGTTCCTTAAACGAGTGGCAACACTTCTGGCAGCCAAGACCAGCCAGGACAAAAGCCTCATCATGGCAAATCTTAGACTTCGTTTGCGATTTGAGCTACTCAAAACAGTTTTGATTGCAGTGAGAGGACACAGAGGACGGTATTATGAGAAAGCAATACCTGTTGACGAACTGGACCTAAAACCTGTTGACGAACTGGACCTAAACCTTGCACACACCACCAGCGATGAAGACAGGGGTGATGATGTTGATGATGAAGATGAGGAAGTTGATGATGAGGTGGAGAATGTAGAGGAAGAGGTTTCAGAAGAGTGAGCTGAAAAGAAGACAAGATTCTATTCTAATTTATTGATTATTATATTTATTGAAATAAACATATAATATCCATTACTCCAGGAGTGATGACAGGATATATATACAGTTACCATGTCTTTTATCTAATTTTTATCAGCAGATTTATAAATCTGCTGTTCATTTGTAGTTATTACCTTGCTAGTTATGAGTAAATTTTTGCCTTCCATCAATTGAGTGCAGCTTTCAGTTTTAAAATTTTCAGTTTATTCAGATTTTTCGTTTTCGATATTGCAAATTTTTAATAAATCATGTTCAGATTATGGTGATAATGGATGTAAAGGTACTTCAACCGAATTAACAATCCAACCGTGTGTATGACGTGTCCCAGTAGCCAATCATAATATATGTATTTCTACCGGTGGCACATACTGGATGGCGGTTAGATGAGTACACTACTCTCACAAGCATCTCGAGTCTCTCGGTGATCCTGCCTCCACACCACACTCAGTCTGGACTCCCTTCCGGCCGACCGAACTATTTTCCTAATATCTCCTAATATAACTTTGATCGAACAAGCCTAAATTCATGATGCACTATAAACTTGATTTGAGACAGAAATTTTAGACAATTTATCTGCTTACGTGTAATTTCAAACTCTTATCAGTTACCATGTCTTTTATCTAATTTTTATCAGCAGATTTATAAATCTGCTGTTCATTTGTAGTTATTACCTTGCTAGTTATGAGTAAATTTTTGCCTTCCATCAATTGAGTGCAGCTTTCAGTTTTAAAATTTTCAGTTTATTCAGATTTTTCGTTTTCGATATTGCAAATTTTTAATAAATCATGTTCAGATTATGGTGATAATGGATGTAAAGGTACTTCAACCGAATTAACAATCCAACCGTGTGTATGACGTGTCCCAGTAGCCAATCATAATATATATATATTTATTTTTTTAAAGAAAAAAAAAGTACATTCGAACCGAGTGCAACAATTGGAGAAAGGGTCATTCGTCCCCCTTGTATTTACCACTACAGGAGGAATGGCACCGGAGGCCAAGCGTTTCATAAGGAGACTTGCTGTGTAGATAGCCACCAAGACAAAGGAGGACTACAGCCAGGTGATGTGTAACATCAGGACACGCCAGAGCATGGATATAATGAGGAGTGTGCTAGTAGCAGTTAGAGGTGTACGTGGAAAGGCAAAGAAGGCATGGACTGCCCCTATATCCAATGTCTCCTTCAACCTGATACCTGAGGAGAAGAGCTACGAGGGATAGATGATATCTATTGCTCAGTATTTACGATTGTGCTCTGCCAATTGCATCACTTGATTTAATTTATTGTATTTAATGTAATTTATTAAAAAATGGCACACAATTGTTATGAACAAAGGTTTGGACACACAGTAAGACGGCACAAATACAGGTGAATTCTTCGTAGATTTACGATAATTGGTAATGATATTTTGAGTAAACTGTATTGATCCTTAATGATTAACCATGGCCTTTCCACAATTCCCCGTTTAAGTGATTGATTGGGAACTGGGTTTTACTACCCCAGTTAATGTTTACTAAAATAGATATTGAACAGCAATTTAATAAGATAAAAATCGTACCAGCGTACTTTAAAATCTGTATAATTCATGAAATTAAAAGTAGCTATGACCATTATATTAAGAGTTAAATATATTGTTTATATTCCCCATCATGGACTAGTGGCTCAACAAAACTGCGTCGGAAATTAAAGCTCAGCTAAAGCCTGAAGACTATTCAGTCTTGTATAGAAAATAACTACAGCTACCAATATGTCCCTCACAAACATGGTCCAAAACATATCAAAACACACACTCAAAAAAAGTTGTCAACCGTTGCTCTCATCGGCACAATAAATTTGCCCGTCCTTTATGTAAAACTTTTTGGTCGGTTCTGCAAGTGCCCGCTTCTTCATGTCCTGTACCAGATCTTTCCGGAGCTTCCTCTGTTCGACAGACCGATCAGGGCTCAAGAAAACTGTCTTAAACTTCTCACTCTGCCGCAGGTTCCTGGCATTCCTCAGAATCTGATTAACGATGAGCGAGTTTGAGGTGATAACTTTAACTGGTCGCATTGAGTCAACCGTTTTCTTTTTTCCTATTCTCTGAGCCTCTACTTTTGGCTTTATGCCAATAGTTTCCAGAACTTCACTGACTTGAGATTCGAGCTTCTCTTCGTTTTCCTCAGGCAGACCGAAGATAAGAAGGTTCCTGCTGCGGTCCTCCTCTGCAACAATAGTCTTGACTACAGACGTCAATGCTTCCGGGCTGATTACTGGAGACTGTGCTGGCAAACTTTGAACGACTGAGCTGTAAGATTGGAACTCCGCTTTCACTGAATCAGCAACTGAACTTGACACAGTTTTCTTCAACGCTTCAAGTTGCTCAGTCTTGCAAGCTGATAGCTCGGCCTGAACACTGATAACCTGCTCTTGCTTCTCAATTAACTGACCCTGAAGTCTGGTCAACACATTCTTATACGCTTCAACGGTCTCCATAAGATAGTTCGTATACTCAAAAGATCGACCACACACATCGACAATCTCCGGCTTATTCAGTCTGTTGAAGTTCTTAGCGTCCGCAATGTCCTTTAACTTTCCGTAAGGCTTGCAAAATTTCTTCAGAGTCTCTTTGCTCCAGGTGAACATCTCATTCCACATGTAATTGATACTTTCCAAGTCCAAATCTGCCATCGTAAAGATCAGCACAACAAGCTAGCAGCGCAGTAGCGGTGTGAAGTAAGTATGACGAAGTAAGTATGACTAATAAAAACACTTTCATCTGTATATCAAAGGAGCATATCCTAGCAGTTTGACACGGTCTGACTTGTACGCAGGGCACCTAAGTACAAACAAAGGTCAAGCAGCCACTCTTAGAACTGAAGTAAAAGAAATGGTGACTTAAACTCTGTTAATATTAAAGACTGTTGCTTTGTTGATGAAACCTCCTCAGTTGACCTTGTTGTGGTCAATTATCTGTGCTCTGCGTAGTGCATCACACGAATCAGTTTTTAATCTATTAACTTATTACACATTTGTGCTCTATTTAAAAAAATTGTTTGTTCAGGCCATGACCTTATAGTCAGCCAATTGGCTATTGCTGAAATTGAATGTAATTTATATTTTATTTTATACTTTATTGGTTTTTTTAAAAAAATTTGGTGGGGCTGAATCGGTTGGAGCAGGATGATCGTGAATCATGTGACAATCAGAAAGAATGGTAATCACAAATTGAATAGACTAATTAGATTTAACTCAGATGTGACCTAACATTTTATACATCTAATAAAGTCCTTTGTGTGTCCATACTTTAAATTGAAAAAGAATTTCGCTCCGGTTAAACCACGCACGATCAGATTTCCCTACGATGTACTTGTACCATTAATTCCTTTGAGTGAAAAGTGTGACTTGAAAAAAGTGCATCATATTTACATAGTATGTTTTTTATAAATGAGTAGGATTCGTGCATGGTATAAAAATTGACGATTTATTTGAATAATGTAGTTCCGCACATCAACAATAAATGAATCCAGAAAATTGCGGAAAATAAATTTGCGCGTTGCGAATGAAGAATTTCACAAAAGACGCTTCCTATATACATAATTATATGGGAGTGGTCTATATTGCGAAGGAGCAGACTTTTGTCATAAAGCAAGGCCGTCGGGTCACCTCATATATCCAAACCCGACTACTTATTCCTTAATTGACGATGTCAATTCATCTCAGCTCGGCGCGGCGCAGTAGCGCATCTCGCCGATGTCGCTGTGAGAAGCCTCATTGAGTGCGCGGCGCGGCACAGTAACGCATCGCGCTACAAGTAAAGCTATTATGTTCATAAACATAAATAAAGATTTGGCGAAATGACAGGCTGAGCGCCGCCCTGAAATAACGCATACAGCTATAAACTTATTCCCTACAATCTTTTTGCCTCCAGCAAGAGCTGTAGGGAAAAAAAATTGAAGCTGTGTTTCACTTACAACTTAGACACAATTTACTTGGAGGACTTCGCCGCTTCAACGCGCCGCGCGAACTAGCATTCTTGCTTCGCATCGAAGTAGCATTCTTGCTTCGCATCGAAGTAGCATTTTTGCTTTGCATCGTCGTCGATCGTTGCTCTGCTTCGCAGAGCTGAGCAACGATCTCGACGGATTGACATCGTCAATCAAAAACGAGCCCAAATTAAATTTCTTTCTGTGCAATTATCAAATTGCACCAATATAAATAGACAACATACTGCAAGGCTAGATATTAGCACAAGCTCTTTTTTATCGCAGCTGTATAGTATATCCACAGATGTAAGGGTAGTTTACTTTCAAACCCGATTAAACAGCGACAATTGAGTATCTCACCGATAAGATGTACCAAACACATGAAAAGAACCCAGGAAAAGTTACTGGCTGGTGGTGGTATATAATTGGTTTACTATAGTTGGTTTAATTTAAACAGACGGCTCGACCTCGCGCGCGACATCAAGCATGATTTGCACACGTGGCGCATTCCAATGTTCAAGCAGCTACCACGTGACACAATTCAGCCAATCAAAGTACGTTACATGAATCCGCAAAGTTTTGACACACGTTGCATGCCACTTTTCGCGCCGAAGGCAAAGTTAAAGTTGTCCACATAAATGTATTTGTTAGTTAGTCAGTGGATTTTTAAAATATTTTCAAATTACACAACATAAATTTTAGTGTTTACAGTTTAGCCTGCAGGCCCTTACCTGGGGACTCCAGTGTCCACTGTCCAGGCTATAATGTTCATAAACATATAGAATAGAGATTCGGCCGAATGACAGGCTGAGCAGTGAGTCCAGTAAAATAAATTGAAGCATATTAGACTTTTGTCTAAAAACATTGTTGACATGATATAAACAATTTAAATTTTAACTTGGAGCCCCAAGACCAAGGGTAATTTTTGATTGTTAAGGGAATTTTTTGAATTCTTAAAGGGTTGATTTTATATAGGGTCAATGCTATATTATGTGTATATTGTTTGAAAAATTTTATATTAGACTTTTGTCGAAATGCACACGAGACTACAATAAGGAATTTTGAAGGAATACATGGTAATTTAACAAAACTTAACAGAACTCTTCATCCACGCCAACAATGCAATTTTTATTTGGTTAAAGTATGAGACTTGTCTTCAAAAATTTATCTAGACTAGCATTTCGGTGTGCATGTGCAAAAGCTTTCGAGCCTGTACATCCCTTGTATCACGTGGTGACCCCCACTGTCGCATCACTATAGTATCGTCTTCGACGATACAGGGGGAGCCGCGCACTTCATGCGCGGCGGGTCATACAACGTACGACAATACATCCCTTGCCTTGTAGATCAAGAAAACAACAAATTTCAAGAAAACAACAAATTTGTTACACGAAAAATGTTACACGAAATGGGAATAATATTTTACACATCTATTTGTTAATTCTGTAAAATGTGCAAAAATTAAATTTTCTCATTGAAAGAAATTTTTTGTTTAATTGAATCCTCATTATGTTAATTTACTGGGTCTTTAAACCTAGCATTAATTTAAATTTTTAAATTTTGTAAAAATATTTATGATAAGTATAAGATAAGTTTTAAACTAATTACAACACTACAAATCTATTACATTTATTGAGGACGTTATAGAAGGAGTTTATTTAATATAGTTAAAGGAGTCCTAACTCAATTAAACAATTAATAATCAATTAAACAAATAATCAAAGTTTTAGCACATTTTACAGCATAAAATTTAAACAAATGAAAACATATAATGCTCTTAGTGGTAAATGGCTGTTTGTTCTGAGCTGTATGATTTTTTGACAATCAACTAGCGGGGCAAGGAATGTACTGGCTGGTAGCTTTTGTACACACCAGAACGCTAGTCTGGTTGATTAATTAATTAATTAAGTCACTCTCCTCACGTCCGTAAATGGAGTTTTCTTTGTATCATGTATGATGATGTCTGTGTCATTGTAATTTGATTCGATTTGATTCGATTTCAAAGTGACTTGATTTGAATTAGTTTAACTTATTCATAGTATAGCTTATAATTAATAATTTGCCTAGAACCGTTTCTTTACATATATTAGCTTAGGATACAATGTTCGTACGAAAGGCTTCATATCGGTCTCGGTACACACCCCGTACTCTTGTTGCTGCCTCCTTCGGTTAGTTTACATCATATGTATTCGAATGAAATTCTAACTTTTTGTTTTGTTTCCTATCTGTTTTGTGTGATCTTTTAGATGTATACTTTGTTTTACTGACTAAGTCTCCTAGCATATTGCATAAATCGTTGTTTCCAACACCAGTGCCCTTAAATCATAAAGCAAATCTTTTCGTTTAAAATAATTATTCAGTGATTACATTTTCAGATTCTCCCCCAAAATCAGTTTGTGAATAACAAACATTCAATTTGTACAAGGTATGCACTGATAGGTTCTTCACATCTGGGTGCCCACTGGTTCCATTATCGTGAACCGGCAGTGGCAGTGGCGTGATCAAAACATAACAAACACTGTTCAGTTTCGGAAAAAAACATCTCAGCTGCTAAAGGCTAAAATTTCCAAAATTAACTTCCTGTGGGAGATATCATGGCTCAGTAGCGTGGCATTATCCAATCACAGCAACTTTGAGTTATTTGCTATTGATGCACCTTTTCAGCATACTTCTTTTTAACTTAGACATGCCTTTTTTAACATATTGTCACCTTCATGTCTGTAGTTCGCACTCTGATCTTGCTATTATGCTTAATAGAGATGATTAAATTACCATAACCCTATTCAGATGCATTAATTTTTTGCCAATTTAAAATCATAAGAATTTAACAAATGGAACAATATATTTAGTAAGAACAGTTTCAGAAGTGCCATCGAACACTGCAGAAGCATGGAAGGTTGCTAATGCACATTTGATGACTAAAACGCCATCAGCCACTGCAGAAGCATGGAAGGTTGCTGAAGCGCATTTGCTTTCTTTAAATGAACCTGCCATCGCCAAAGCGCCATCAGCCACCGCAGAAGCATGGAAGGTCGCTGAAGCGCATTTGCTGACTATTGACAAACCTGCCATTGCTAAAGCACCATCTTTCACCACAGAAAATTTACACAGTAGTACAATAATGAAAATGATGAATAATTTAAAGAAGCTTCAATCTGCTGTAAAGCATGTGGAAGAAGCGTGGAGGAAAGCTGAAGTGCATTTGATGACTACCAAAGAACCTGCCATTATTAAAGCGCCATCAGCCACTGCAGTAGCATGGAAGGTTGCTGAAGCGCATTTGCTGTCTTTAAATGAACCTGCCATCACCAAAGTGCCATCAGCTACCGCAGAAGCATGGAAGGTTGCTGAAGCGCATTTGCTGTCTTTAAATGAACCTCCCATCGCCAAAGCGCCATCAGCCACCGCAGAAGCATGGAAGGTCGCTGAAGCGCATTTGCTGTCTTTGAATGAAGCTGCCATTGCCAAAACGCTGTCAGCCACTACAGAAGCTTGGAAGGTCGCTGAAGCACATTTGATGTCTTTAAATGAACCTGCCATTGCCAAAGCGCCATCAGCCACTGCAGAAGCATGGAAGGTTGCTGAAGCGCATTTGCTGTCTTTAAATGAACCTCCCATCGCCAAAGCGCCATCAGCCACCGCAGAAGCATGGAAGGTTGCTGAAGCACATTTGCTGTCTTTAAATGAACCTGCCATCGCCAAAGTGTCATCAGCCACCGCAGAAGCATGGAAGGTTGCTGAAGCGCATTTGCTGTCTTTAAATGAAACTGCCATTGCCAAAGCGCCATCAGCCACTGCAGAAGCATGGAAAGTTGCTGAAGCTCATTTGCTGTCTTTAAATGAACCTGCCATCGCAAAAGAACCATCAGCCACCGCAGAAGCATGGAAGGTTGCTGAAGCGCATTTGTGCACAATTAAAGTAGAATCTGCAATCCCTGCTGAAGTGTCACCGATAACTGCAGCAGCTTGGGCAATCGCTAAAGCGCATGTGAACGCTATGTGAACGCTATGTGAACGCTATATTATGTGAATTAACTAAGCATAAATATTCGATAATGTTGAGTAGAATAGAATATCATTGGTATGTCTGAAATGGTTTGTAAATATATATATATGTATAAAGGAATGTAAAATAAAATTTATTGTTTCATTAAAAGCTTTATCGTTTCATTGCTACCAACAGGCTGGTGATTGCTGCCTGATATTGCTGTGGACATGGAATCTAATCTGACGAAACTAAATGACTGATAATCAGCCTGTGCCACTTGTTTTTAGTGATTTCCTGAGTCTTTTGTGAATTGAAATTGCATTGTTATATTTATAAACTTTTATCTTGTGAATGGAAAGGTAGAACTAGAGAATAACAGTAAAGTTCAACTAATCAACTGGATGATTCTAACTAGGATGAGCTGATGAAAAAGTCATTAAGCGTTCTTTCTGCACGATGCTAGATAACTGAGAGAAAAGCTAGAGATTGACAATATGGTGCCTGACACAGCTGTCCAAGAAAAGAAGTCTTGTTCATGGTATGTGTATTTTACTGATTGTAAACGTCATGGTATGTGTATCTTACTGATTGTAAACGTCATGGTATGTGTATCTTACTGATTGTGAACGTCATGGTATGTGTATCTTACTGATTGAACACGTCATTGCTGTCTTTTGTGAAACTCAAATTTATGTTTTTTGGCTCACTATTTGAATTGATGTTAAGTAACAGTTGAATTAGTCTTAAAGATTAGTATAGATTATTCTATCGTTTATAAGTTTATATTGACCAGTGTTGATACACTACAAATTATGATATTTTCGATTAATTACCTTTACAATCTTGAGTGAATCTAGTTTTTAGAACATTCTAGTTTATCTCCAGGCCAACTAATTTAAAAGAGTTTATTAACTTTAAACAAAATTTAAGAACATGAGACATGTATGCCTTTAAGGTAAACCATCACGACTATAACTAATAAGTATTGAGCTCAATAAAATCCACATTGTTACAATGTTACATAGTAACTGTTTCATAAATACTTGAAATTATTCTTTGATCTGGTTTTTTAATTCACAACTTTAGCCTCTACGCTAACACTGCCAACCACCATGATCACATGGCGGTCACATGTTGGTCACATGTTGGTCCCATGTTGGTCACACGTATCTGTATCTCATTCATTTGATGGCATATCTTTAAAGACTTATGTGAGTAAATATTCGATCAAATCGATCAAGTTCGAATAAATTTGAGCTTGTATTAAGCATTATCTAATACATGTAAAGCTTGAAAATGGTGAGAAGGCTGTACATATTTTCGCTATAAACCGGAGTGTTTTTTTTAATTGATAATTTATGCAGAATATGTCACGTCATGACTTGGAAAGGATAGAACAACTATGAAAACAATCTTTCATAGTGAACACTTGGACCTTACCAACAATATTCACAACAACTACTAAATAACTTATTTAAAGAGATAATTCCATCACTTTATTCCAACTATATTAAGACACAATTAAACTACCGGACTACGATCAACGATGTATGGGGACTTGCCACCCCATGGCAACATTAAAATACATCGACTCTGTTACATCGTTTCCTCAAATTATTTGTTATATAGTAGTGTTGAAAGTATTAAAATATAACTCCTTCTCAGTGAGCACAACACCACACTGTTCTGGTGTGGGCCGGGTAAGAACATTCCAGTCCTACACTTCAGACCTGATGTTTGTCTTTATAAGAACACTGAGTGCTCCTGCAACAAGATGGGTGAGTTAACAGTTCTTGGTAGGTATCACTGTTGTTTTGTCTTTATAAGAACACTGAGTGCTCCTGCAACAAGATGGAGGAGTTAACAGTTCTTGGTAGGTATCACTGTTGTTTTGTCTTTATAAGAACACTGAGTGCTCCTGCAACAAGATGGAGGAGTTAACAGTTCTTGGTAGGTATCACTGTTGTTTTGTCTTTATAAGAACACTGAGTGCTCCTGCAACAAGATGGGTGAGTTAGCAGTTCTTGGTAGGTATCACTGTTGTTTTGTCTTTATAAGAACACTGAGTGCTCCTGCAACAAGATGGAGGAGGTAACAGTTCTTGGTAGGTATCACTGTTGTTTTGTCTTTATAAGAACACTGAGTGCTCCTGCAACAAGATGGAGGAGGTAACAGTTCTTGGTAGGTATCACTGTTGTTTTGTCTTTATAAGAACACTGAGTGCTCCTGCAACAAGATGGAGGAGGTAACAGTTCTTGGTAGGTATCACTGTTGTTTTGTCTTTATAAGAACACTGAGTGCTCCTGCAACAAGATGGAGGAGGTAACAGTTCTTGGTAGGTATCACTGTTGTTTTGTCTTTATAAGAACACTGAGTGCTCCTGCAACAAGATGGAGGAGTTAACAGTTCTTGGTAGGTATCACTGTTGTTTTGTCTTTATAAGAACACTGAGTGCTCCTGCAACAAGATGGAGGAGGTAACAGTTCTTGGTAGGTATCACTGTTGTTTTGTCTTTATAAGAACACTGAGTGCTCCTGCAACAAGATGGAGGAGGTAACAGTTCTTGGTAGGTATCACTGTTGTTTTGTCTTTATAAGAACACTGAGTGCTCCTGCAACAAGATGGAGGAGGTAACAGTTCTTGGTAGGTATCACTGTTGTTTTGTCTTTATAAGAACACTGAGTGCTCCTGCAACAAGATGGAGGAGGTAACAGTTCTTGGTAGGTATCACTGTTGTTTTGTCTTTATAAGAACACTGAGTGCTCCTGCAACAAGATGGAGGAGGTAACAGTTCTTGGTAGGTATACCTGATGTTTTGTCTTTATAAGAACACTGAGTGCTCCTGCAACAAGATGGAGGAGGTAACAGTTCTTGGTAGGTATCACTGTTGTTTTGTCTTTATAAGAACACTGAGTGCTCCTGCAACAAGATGGAGGAGTTAACAGTTCTTGGTAGGTATACCTGATGTTTTGTCTTTATAAGAACACTGAGTGCTCCTGCAACAAGATGGAGGAGGTAACAGTTCTTGGTAGGTATCACTGTTGTTTTGTCTTTATAAGAACACTGAGTGCTCCTGCAACAAGATGGAGGAGGTAACAGTTCTTGGTAGGTATCACTGTTGTTTTGTCTTTATAAGAACACTGAGTGCTCCTGCAACAAGATGGAGGAGGTAACAGTTCTTGGTAGGTATCACTGTTGTTTTGTCTTTATAAGAACACTGAGTGCTCCTGCAACAAGATGGAGGAGGTAACAGTTCTTGGTAGGTATCACTGTTGTTTTGTCTTTATAAGAACACTGAGTGCTCCTGCAACAAGATGGAGGAGGTAACAGTTCTTGGTAGGTATACCTGATGTTAGTCTTTATAAGAACACTGAGTGCTCCTGCAACAAGATGGAGGAGGTAGCAGTTCTTGGTAGGTATCACTGTTGTTTTGTCTTTATAAGAACACTGAGTGCTCCTGCAACAAGATGGGTGAGTTAACAGTTCTTGGTAGGTATACCTGATGTTTTGTCTTTATAAGAACACTGAGTGCTCCTGTAAGAAGATGGAGGAGGTAACAGTTCTTGGTAGGTATCACTGTTGTTTTGTCTTTATAAGAACACTGAGTGCTCCTGCAACAAGATGGAGGAGTTAACAGTTCTTGGTAGGTATACCTGTTGTTTTGTCTTTATAAGAACACTGAGTGCTCCTGCAACAAGATGGAGGAGGTAACAGTTCTTGGTAGGTATCACTGTTGTTTTGTCTTTATAAGAACACTGAGTGCTCCTGCAACAAGATGGAGGAGGTAACAGTTCTTGGTAGGTATCACTGTTGTTTTGTCTTTATAAGAACACTGAGTGCTCCTGCAACAAGATGGAGGAGGTAACAGTTCTTGGTAGGTATCACTGTTGTTTTGTCTTTATAAGAACACTGAGTGCTCCTGCAACAAGATGGAGGAGGTAACAGTTCTTGGTAGGTATCACTGTTGTTTTGTCTTTATAAGAACACTGAGTGCTCCTGCAACAAGATGGAGGAGGTAACAGTTCTTGGTAGGTATCACTGTTGTTTTGTCTTTATAAGAACACTGAGTGCTCCTGCAACAAGATGGAGGAGGTAACAGTTCTTGGTAGGTATACCTGATGTTTGTCTTTATAAGAACACTGAGTGCTCCTGCAACAAGATGGAGGAGGTAACAGTTCTTGGTAGGTATACCTGTTGTTTTGTCTTTATAAGAACACTGAGTGCTCCTGCAACAAGATGGAGGAGGTAACAGTTCTTGGTAGGTATCACTGTTGTTTTGTCTTTATAAGAACACTGAGTGCTCCTGCAACAAGATGGAGGAGGTAACAGTTCTTGGTAGGTATCACTGTTGTTTTGTCTTTATAAGAACACTGAGTGCTCCTGCAACAAGATGGAGGAGGTAACAGTTCTTGGTAGGTATCACTGTTGTTTTGTCTTTATAAGAACACTGAGTGCTCCTGCAACAAGATGGAGGAGGTAACAGTTCTTGGTAGGTATCACTGTTGTTTTGTCTTTATAAGAACACTGAGTGCTCCTGCAACAAGATGGAGGAGTTAACAGTTCTTGGTAGGTATACCTGATGTTTTGTCTTTATAAGAACACTGAGTGCTCCTGCAACAAGATGGAGGAGGTAACAGTTCTTGGTAGGTATCACTGTTGTTTTGTCTTTATAAGAACACTGAGTGCTCCTGCAACAAGATGGAGGAGGTAACAGTTCTTGGTAGGTATCACTGTTGTTTTGTCTTTATAAGAACACTGAGTGCTCCTGCAACAAGATGGAGGAGGTAACAGTTCTTGGTAGGTATCACTGTTGTTTTGTCTTTATAAGAACACTGAGTGCTCCTGCAACAAGATGGAGGAGGTAACAGTTCTTGGTAGGTATCACTGTTGTTTTGTCTTTATAAGAACACTGAGTGCTCCTGCAACAAGATGGAGGAGTTAACAGTTCTTGGTAGGTATACCTGTTGTTTTGTCTTTATAAGAACACTGAGTGCTCCTGCAACAAGATGGAGGAGGTAACAGTTCTTGGTAGGTATCACTGTTGTTTTGTCTTTATAAGAACACTGAGTGCTCCTGCAACAAGATGGAGGAGGTAACAGTTCTTGGTAGGTATACCTGATGTTAGTCTTTATAAGAACACTGAGTGCTCCTGCAACAAGATGGAGGAGGTAACAGTTCTTGGTAGGTATCACTGTTGTTTTGTCTTTATAAGAACACTGAGTGCTCCTGCAACAAGATGGAGGAGGTAACAGTTCTTGGTAGGTATACCTGTTGTTTTGTCTTTATAAGAACACTGAGTGCTCCTGCAACAAGATGGAGGAGGTAACAGTTCTTGGTAGGTATCACTGTTGTTTTGTCTTTATAAGAACACTGAGTGCTCCTGCAACAAGATGGAGGAGGTAACAGTTCTTGGTAGGTATCACTGTTGTTTTGTCTTTATAAGAACACTGAGTGCTCCTGCAACAAGATGGAGGAGGTAACAGTTCTTGGTAGGTATCACTGTTGTTTTGTCTTTATAAGAACACTGAGTGCTCCTGCAACAAGATGGAGGAGTTAACAGTTCTTGGTAGGTATCACTGTTGTTTTGTCTTTATAAGAACACTGAGTGCTCCTGCAACAAGATGGAGGAGGTAACAGTTCTTGGTAGGTATCACTGTTGTTTTGTCTTTATAAGAACACTGAGTGCTCCTGCAACAAGATGGAGGAGGTAACAGTTCTTGGTAGGTATCACTGTTGTTTTGTCTTTATAAGAACACTGAGTGCTCCTGCAACAAGATGGAGGAGGTAACAGTTCTTGGTAGGTATCACTGTTGTTTTGTCTTTATAAGAACACTGAGTGCTCCTGCAACAAGATGGAGGAGGTAACAGTTCTTGGTAGGTATCACTGTTGTTTTGTCTTTATAAGAACACTGAGTGCTCCTGCAACAAGATGGAGGAGGTAACAGTTCTTGGTAGGTATCACTGTTGTTTTGTCTTTATAAGAACACTGAGTGCTCCTGCAACAAGATGGAGGAGGTAACAGTTCTTGGTAGGTATCACTGTTGTTTTGTCTTTATAAGAACACTGAGTGCTCCTGCAACAAGATGGAGGAGGTAACAGTTCTTGGTAGGTATCACTGTTGTTTTGTCTTTATAAGAACACTGAGTGCTCCTGCAACAAGATGGAGGAGGTAACAGTTCTTGGTAGGTATCACTGTTGTTTTGTCTTTATAAGAACACTGAGTGCTCCTGCAACAAGATGGAGGAGGTAACAGTTCTTGGTAGGTATCACTGTTGTTTTGTCTTTATAAGAACACTGAGTGCTCCTGCAACAAGATGGGTGAGTTAACAGTTCTTGGTAGGTATCACTGTTGTTTTGTCTTTATAAGAACACTGAGTGCTCCTGCAACAAGATGGAGGAGGTAACAGTTCTTGGTAGGTATCACTGTTGTTTTGTCTTTATAAGAACACTGAGTGCTCCTGCAACAAGATGGAGGAGGTAACAGTTCTTGGTAGGTATCACTGTTGTTTTGTCTTTATAAGAACACTGAGTGCTCCTGCAACAAGATGGAGGAGGTAACAGTTCTTGGTAGGTATCACTGTTGTTTTGTCTTTATAAGAACACTGAGTGCTCCTGCAACAAGATGGAGGAGGTAACAGTTCTTGGTAGGTATCACTGTTGTTTTGTCTTTATAAGAACACTGAGTGCTCCTGCAACAAGATGGAGGAGGTAACAGTTCTTGGTAGGTATACCTGATGTTTGTCTTTATAAGAACACTGAGTGCTCCTGCAACAAGATG